CGATTGGTTGTATTTATATTGAATGAGACAATTTCCAACTTTAATTTTTGCTTAAGAATTTGAATGTGAAGTAAAATTTGTCAAAAAAAATGTGCACTGCTTGAAATGTCTCGAGACCTGAACAAAAGAACGAACAAGCAGAGATTTAAACGACAATTAGTAATTAATTGTTCCTTTCGGACCGATTTTAACTAATTTCAACTTTTTTTGCCGTTAATTGAAGAGATACAGCGAAAATAAACACAGACCCGTAATCCTCAAAGACTTACGATGAAAATCAACATTTTTTAAACGAACTTTGGCGGAGGCGCCGGGTTATAAAATTTAAAAAATTCTTCTTCATTAAAATAGCGTCAACTGGTTGCGTTGATATTTTTTAAGTGCGCCAGTGAAAGTTGCTAATAATACTTAAGCTGTAAAATAAAGTGTAAATAAATGAAATCGCGTTTTAATTGGTCGCAATACTCTGCTTTTTCTGAAATTATAAAACGTATATTCTTTGGGTAAAAAGTTGTTTTTCCCAAAAGGAGATAATAACTGGCGCTTATTTATACGAAAAACTTCTTTAATTACTTCGACACGAGGAAAATAAATTGGAGTTCTATATTCGTTCCCCTCACGATCACAAGATTATCATAAACACGGCGAAAGTCGAAGGCGTTTGAATTTTCCCAAATTAGTAACTAAGGAATTTACTGATGCGTAAAGAGGAGGCTCATCATTAGGGGAATGTCGTATTGACAGACATGACGAAAATTCCTATAGCGGCGAATTGATGTATTCTTATCACTTTTGTTAGCGCCGAGTAGCTAAAGTCGTCAAAGCGTAAAAGTAACATTTTCCCGTTCGTCGACGGACGGTCGTTCGTCCACGAAAGAACAGACCTACACACCGCCTACTTAGTCCGCGGAAGACAACAACAAACGAGCTGTGAATTAACGTTTTCTGTAAACACGAATTTATTAGAAAATTTAATGTTTTAATTTTGCGACGGTGTGTTGGAGAGATTCTCAGGTATTTTGTCGGCTGCAAATAGTTAATTAAAAGTGGAGCATTTCATGATGCGTTGGAGTGTTTATTATGAAGTTGCGTTAATAAGTTTGGTATTTATTAATGAAATCAGGGAGGTAATAGTAACGGAGAGAGGATCGTTCGAATTAATTGATACAGAAGTGTAACATTATAATCAAGATAAATTAAAGCCATTAAATTTAAATCTAAACAGGGAATATGATTAGTCGTTGTGAGATGTGGGATATGTTATGTCAAGGACAACATGCGTAGATGTTTTAGCAAATTCCCTCGGCACCAGTAATAAGGAAATTTTGCTTTAGATAGTTTAATGAATTAATCAAATTTAATTATCTATTCTAGGCGTGCATACCAAATTCTAAACTTCTAATCACGCTAGACAGATATTACCGTCTCGCCGTGGATGCTTATTTAATATCGCACCAACACCGAATAATCTACTTACGCCTAAATAATGTGATGTAGGTCTTTCGAGCAATCAGGGAGTACCTGTTACACAGGTAGACGCGGATTAGCAAATCTAGATTAATATTTTCTTAAAAACCGAACGTAAGAGGAAAAACACGAACTCAATAAGATTATCGAGAAAAGTTTGGAAAAAAATGTTGCGTTCAACAACCGCCTTACCGTCGGCGTTGCTATGCCGGATCTACGTCAAAAGCGCGACTTCCGGGCGGTTTTTTAAGTCACAAATTCAATTTACTGAAAATTGCTCTTCTCTGGTTTACAGTGTTTTTATACCGCGGTGTACCGTCACGCGATCCTTTAAAACGCATTTAATTTTTCCCGAAATTTATTTTAATAAAATTATCTGCTTCTCGAATCTACAACTTTAATCAATTAGATGAAATACTCTCTCGAAAAAGGATCGACTCTGTTATTTTACAAGAGTTAATTAAATCATTGCATTTATCTCCAGAGTGTAGTGGATTTAGCAAGCGTGAACTAACATAACAATAAGAAGGTTTCATACAACTTTAATGTATGCAAAACATACACCGGAGTTAACTAATTAGAAGCAAACATCTGTGCTGTCTACAAAATTTCCATTTTCCAATTTCTCCTAACAATTCTACGTGAACTTCCAAATGTCGCTAATCAACGAAACACGCCGATTTTACCTGCCATCAATACCCAACTTCTCCACTAAACTCAAGTGCAACTTACATACGGGTTATCCAGTGGCGTAACCCAAAACATAAAACACCGTCAACCCACCGTCAAAATTTAATACCCGCTGAGAACCGAACTACTCGATTATTCGTCACAGATGGTCGAAACCAATCGAAAAAAAATCGACGGATTAGCTTCATATAATTAAAAAATAATCTCGCAGAAACACTAACAATTATTTAGTTTGTTGCATTGTCGTCGAAACATTGTTTTACCTCGTGTTTTGAGGTAAGTAATTGCTTGAGTGAAAATGGTGGAGGCGCCGGGTTAATCCGAATTTTAAAGCTTCGATTCTCTAGTTACGCCACTGGTGCTACACTAATTTCCAACCACTTTCCCATGGACACGGCGAAATAATAAGCTTCGATTGGCTCTTAAACTTTTCCACAACCTCAAAAGCTTCCAACCCACAATTGCAAGCAAAATTTTTACAATTAAGTTAAGGTCCGCTTGAAAATATACACAACTTTTCCGGTAACAGTACAGCTTCGTGAAAAAATCGGTCACTCGTTGCGTCTGCCGCGTATTCGCCTAAATAATTCCTACGTTAATTAAATTTAATAATAAGACGAGCGAGCGCAGCGAGCGAGCGTTGCACGTTTATTGCATTTGTGCATAATTAATGACGTTTCGGCGGGTGTGTGTGCCCTTCGACCAACTGATTTTATAATTCATGTATGCTAAGCTTCACTCGGTGTAAAGGGTTTCGAAATTATTTCGGTGACAAGAGATCAATGGTAAAACATTCAAAGCGTAGAATACTGAATAGATAGATCTTTATCTCTTTTGTTTGTTAAAAGTCAATCCCCTGTATTCCCGTTTCATCATTTCAGGTTTGTTACATTAAAAGAAGATGTAAAGCATCGGAGCTGCTGGATGGAGGCGTATTGTGGGAAGCGAATTTTTTTCATCGACTTTGTGTCCAATGTCAGGATTAAATAACGGACATAAACTATGGCAATGTTTGAGGCATAGATACAGTAGTAATAGCAGGGAGTGAAGAGGAAGCCACCAATGGCTTCCTCAAAATTATCAATATACGCATTCCTCTTATGGTTGTTGTGGTTTCATGTTTTTCCACCGATGGACGCCCAGCTGATGTGGACATCCATATATCTAGGGAGTGGAAACAGTAAGTCGACATGTACATATAGAGTGTAAATAGTATCTGTGAAACCAATAAATAGCCAGGAAATAATGGAACGCTCCAATCAAAGGGAACTATTGACTTCCTTTAATCGGTTCTTACATTCCCAATGCATTATCTGATCTGGATGCAACTGACATCCAATAAATCTGGTAACACGAAAACTTTATTTCTCTATTTTCTTAAGAACTTATTTCATCGAAAGAATTAACTCACATTACTTTGCCAGCGTTATGTCCGATTTTCAGCGAAAATTTTAATTAAGAAATAAATTCCAGTATCAATAGTGTCGAGCAGATTTCAAGCAGCGTCTTCAAAGTCACTTTTTCTACCCATTATTTTCTGTTTTTAGCTTTTAATTACATTTTTCTGGTGGTTGTTTCATCAGTCTTCGTTCCGTTCTTCAAGCTTTAGTGATAAATGCAATAAGACGGCTTTGAAGAAATTTCAACTTTCAACTGGAAAAAAACGACCAAAATATGTACCGCCAGAACGTGATAACTAACCTCAATCGACTCCTTTTTTGAAAACAAGCAGTTAGTCAATTAATCGTAATAGTGTGTAATGTTGGTTGCATAAGTTACTAATATTATTTCAGAAAACAATTTAAAAAATGCATTGAAAGTCACTAAAGTATTTGTTCATAAAGGAAATTAATCAAATCATAATTCGCCTAAATTCATTCCTTTCTCTGACGTTTTTGATGGTCGATTATGTCCTGGCGTTCCCTACTTCTATCAAAACTCCAGAAACAATTTCTAATTTCCGAGCATAACAGCAAGATCAGTTTAGAGATTTTGCGACAAATTTAACTGAGCTATATTTGATAGGACGTCTGTTATTGTCAGTGAGTCTAAGGGTTCTGCAGGGGAGGCATTTGTTATTTTCCTTGTGACAATTAATTAAGCCTCCAAAGGTTTCCCTTTAGACTATTATTTCCTTAGCTGGAAGAACAACAACTGGACTTTAACGTCATTCTCATGATAAACAGACTCCTCAATCTTGAACTCCGACAAGAAACCCAATTTTTACCTACGAATCTGCGCTTAATCAATTAATCAATTTCGTAGATTGCGACACACCTTTACATTGCATGTAAACATCCAAGCAAAGGAAATGACTCGTCTGGGGGCGGATATCCAGCTGTTAAGTCCACCCTATTTCTAAAGAATTAATTTAGATCTAAATACTCCGCTTCTCGATAATGTGTTTAAATATTTATTTAAAAAGTGGAAATTAACGCCCAATATTTACTCCACCGAAATCAAAATTGCTTGTCAAGTAGTGTGATTAAAATACTAACTTGATTATTTGCGATGACGTCATCAACTTTCAGGAAGGGGACAAAAGTTGATTAAAAACGGGTTTACAATTGTTCATGAATCGTTTTCAATTGTAATTTTATAAATCTGATGTGTTTTAATTCAGGTCAAATAGATTTATGGACACAAGAAGCGAAAGGCTGTGCCTGTCCTTGGAACCGAACCGACCAACAGTGTGCTTGTTGTGTGTCCGAAGGAGGTTGTCACTGCGGAAAAAATGCTCCTAATCGTTGCACACAGTGTGGTCTCGAAGAACACTGCAATCACAGTACGTATAACCTTTTATTTTTTTTTTAAGTTTGATTTGTTTAATTCTGTAACAAAACACAATTCTCGGCTAATTGTCTCCAACACAGCGTTACGTAAATGTAACGAGATTAAGAATGATCCCTTTGTATTGGTGCTCGACGTCGTAACAGAAATAGACAACACGTGCTGTCATAACAACCCCAACCTACGAAACAATCGATCGTTGTTACTAATTTTACTGTACACTTCTACAAGACTATAAAAAATATCACTTGGAAGAAAATAAAGTCGGTGTATTTTCCTGAAAACCCGGCGAGCTTATTACATATCAAACGTCGCCGCTTCCGTGAGAGCGGAATTTCCAAACTGCGTTAAATTATTACTGAAACAACAAAACTGGGACACCTGGTGTAGATATAAGTTGGTTTAAAGTTAGGTAGAGGAGAAAAAGTTATGATGCTAGATGGGTATAATAACGTCCTGACAGTGCTCCACTCGTGAAGGTCTTCGCCGCAATGTGACTGTTATTTGTTAGTGCTCGTCTACGGGTCCAAAGGTTGCTGCAAGCCATTTTCGTTCCTCTTCGCGTCTATAATGTAAATTAAAAGGCGCTGGATAAAGTTTCGCCGTTCTGAAAAATCCCCAATATGATTAATACGAACATGTCCGCCATTAATCAAGAAGCGAACTGTCAATTACGTAACGACGCCACATTTGTATTAATAAGCCGGCAAATTAATATGCCACTTGAACAAGCATTGATGTAAGTAGGTAGCGCATAGGAGAACCCCAGTCGGAACTAAAACACCAGCTCTGAAATAACACACTGGAATGCTAAAGTTACAAATTGATGCCAATTAATTAGTTGATAAAACAGCGTTTGAAAGAGGAGACAGAAAATAAGATTAATGCAATATTTAAGTATAGACAAGCCGAAGATAATTCGCACGTGTAACCAGACCCAGGCTCGCCCACTCCAGAGGTGCGTATGCAGTTCTTTAATTAAACCCCCCGATAAAATAGTTTCGAAAATCGATCCCAAATGAAGGAAATTTATTAAACGAACTCGCACAACTTGCAACGTATGATTAATTTTTGGATTGTTTGTTTCAGTGTGTAATGTGACGATAATTTCGAGCGAATTGATGGCCAGATCCGGAAAAAGTTTCGGCCAGATTAAGTCACCCTCTTTGGAAGGACCCGACGCCTGTTGGTATACATTTATTCCGTCTTCAACTCAACGAGTAGAAGTTCAGATTTATAGACTTGTAAATGCTGGGAAACATAATGGCACCAGGTCAGAGACATAAATTTTATTGTTATAACACATGGTGTTACAAAGTTTCTTAGGTTACGTATCACTGAGATTAAAAAAATGTAATTACTTTGACAAATTTACTCAACTTGTATAATCCTGCCAAAGCTTTAAACTTCAACACGGTAATGTAATTAATTTGCTGTCGCAGCAGACTTCGGAAAGCAAGAACCCTGTCATAATTTAACCGATGAAAAAACTGAAAACGCGAAATTAAAAAGCTTCCTTTCTTTGCGACATCCACAATCGGGTGCAAAAAAATTTTGGTAACTTAAGTTTTACGTCGACTGTAATGGCACTTCTGATTTATCTAGTTGTATTTGTCATTAGTACCACACCAAGGATACAAAAGTTACTAAAAATTTAGTGTTGTCAAATTTTGACTCACCATTAGCCACTGTGTTATCAGTACAGAAGCGTGCCTTTTTGTTTATAAGCGAAGTTCGAAACAATACAAAATTATCAAGTTTGCTAACAGTTTATGAATTTGTAATGGCTGACACTTGAGAATTGCGTTACCGTAATCGAGAAAATCATATTAATTAAGATTTCCGCATCCTTAGAAGTTTTATTGGATTATGAGGTCTAAAACAATGGAAAATTTATTCTTGGTTGCTTATTAGTTTAATTAGAAACGGTTTACAAATTTACATATAAAGTACTCGTACTATAACGAAATTTCTCCTCCCTTTGCGTGGTAATAACACGACAACAGACGTGTTTTTGAAAGCATTTTAAAAGTTTTATATATTATATAACAGTCCTAAACTTAATTTAACTCACATAAACAACACAATACACATCTTACAAAGTGAAGACTTCCTAAGGCGACTAATTCATTCATTATCCTTTGTGTTAGAACTGCGGCTGAAAACGAAAGCGCAAAACCGTAAATGTTTTTCACGAAGGAAATAAATATTTTTTCTTTCAGTTGCGTAGGGGGTTTTCTGCAGCTTGCAGGAGGGCCAGAACCGCAATATAGCCAAACCGACAACCAGATTTGTGGTAGCAACGAGAGATATGCTCCACCGGTTGTTTTCTTTGCCGACGATGGATTGGCCACATTGTTATTTCAGTAAGTTCCAATTTACACATCCCGGTAAATAATTAATACCACAAACAATAGTGCAAAATAAAGCGCTTTCCGTTCGCCATCGAAACGATTTTATCCGCCTTTTTGCACGTATTAGCATGTTCGGATGTGTTATGGACTCGCTAGAACAAACAGGCTTAAAACGTCATTTATTTTTTTAAAAGACTACCCACTGTAGCTTTTTATGTCACCTGATACTTGTACGGCAAGTGGAAATGTAAACTGAATTACTCGATCGAGACTAATGTTATATCAAGCGTTGTCCACTTGATCACAAAACGGAATCATCTTACACATAGCGGGAATTTGTTTTGAGAAACAGACAACCACTGCTGCCTTCCCGATTAAAAACTAATGCACAAATTTAACGTAGCTTTAGTTAACAACAACGGAAAGCGGCCGCTACCTTTTACCACCTCCGTAAGTCCATTCTGACTGTCCGTCTATTCCAGTCCATTACGTGAGTAACCGTTCCCACCTTTGTGTCCCACTTACACAATGGTCGATGGTAGTTCCATTCACTTACCCAAATGGCGTTTCGTGTAACACTGTTTTCTCCTTAACTGCTATCGTTCGAATCCGAAAGCGTGTAATTTCTCCATCAGTTCTTCTCAGTTACGTCTCTAATTCTGGACAGCGGTTGAAATCGTACGAGATCCGAGGCTCGCCCTTCTCCCAACTTTCATCAAGAAGTTTTTCGCGTAATTTCCTTATCACGTCTTGAAGGGGTGAAGCCGTACGAGGTTCGAACCTCGCGCATTTCCCGGATTTCAGTTTTAAGGCGTCCTCGAAGGGATTAACCACCGAAGAAGCTTTGCGCTACCCCCTGAAACCCAGTCCGGGGTTGGTCTTGACGTTTTCCTTGTGCTCGTCGCTATGCCGTCTGTTATTGTAGTCCAAACGGGTTTAGGGGGTATGACACGAATGTCCCCGTCGGGTCGAATGTTTGCATCCTAGCGGTACCGTTTGGACTACACGTCGGGTACTGGTGAACACTAATCCAGAACCTTCCAAGCTGGTCCAGTTCGAAGGATCGAAGCACACCAGGTCCTAGGCCTTCAATGAGTCTTTCGGGGTCTTTCCAAATTCTATATTTATTACTTGGGAGTGACAGGGTACCGAATTTTGCACTTCCGCTGTGATAATACAGGTTGTGGTCCCGCGTCTAGACAAACGCGGGGTTAGGTTGATTCTCACAGTTCATTGACCCGCTGACTTGTCACACTAGTTGTTGCACTCCCCTGACTGACTCTTGCGTACCGCGGGTACGTCGGATTAACGCTTACACTGTTCCGTTGTTTCTGGGACCTCCGCGACGCTCGTTATTCGAGATTTGTGCCACGTTTTCCACGCTCCGTGTATGTTCCAAACATTTCGCCCGAGAACGAGAGTATGTACGTAACAATATTAACTCCTTCAATTTCTTTGAGAGCTATGTTTATTAAATTAGTTACAATGTCCATGACGGTTTTTCCCCATTTGATGCAAAACTTTTCTGGTAATTCTGGCGTATGTTTGTTAAAAATGGTCAAAGTTTTGAAGTTTGAATAAATAAATGTCTGGGGAAAGCTTCTTGAGGTGTTGTTCCGATAACGATTGGCAAGAACAATTATGATGTTTATGTGAAGTCGTAAGTGGAACCAGACGTGGAATTGCTTTTGTTGTGTTATCTATTTCTGGCCTCGTATTTATAAAACATGAAAGAAGCGCGCGAGCCTGAATTGTAGGTGTGCTGGCAAGGTACAAGAAAAATAATCAGTGGTGCGATGCGAAAAGTTCAGTTTCATGAATGTTGCATCGAAATATTTACTATATTGATCACGTTGCGGGTCTAGAGGATCTCATTAAGAATTCAAGGTGAATTAAGGCTTTATTACTGAGGAACGTTCGAACCCAATAATCACACTAGACGACTCTGGTTGAATAGAAACATATTAACCCCAAAATTTACACCATGTTTGGACATGGGAATAAATTTAAATTAGTTTCCAGGCAATATCGAGTTAGTAGTGGCACTTCCTCACTAAAATATAGTTTGTTTTCGCTATATTTTAGCGACAGAGGGTGCTTATGTGCTTGCATAATCGTAATCAAAAACGTATTTATGCGCTTTAGCGCCATGCACCCCTAATGACGGGGACGAATAACCTCTCATCAGTATTCCGCCCCATTATCCATTGTCGTCTTGGCGCGTCCTATATATATGATAGTAAAAGCGGAGTTATTAGAAGGTGTGTGTTTTATCGAACTAAAACGCCTTCCACCTGTTCGGAGAAATTACGGTGGTGCTTTTGTACGAAGAGCGGTTAAGACGCGGGAGGCACCTGCTTCGGCTTATTCGTTGATACGCCAGACCGCACAGGCCAGGGGCACCACGGCGTTAAGAAATGAATATAATGGTTTTAGCTTTTCCTCTTAAAGAAATTTTATTTCCCCAGGATAACGGAAAAAACGCGGCGTTCTCAATTCTTGGCATATTTTAGTTTCACATCAATAAATAATAGCGACGGTTTAGGATATCAGCCACGAGGAGGAATGAAACTCCAAAACACAGGTAGGGAAAATATTAATATTCTTTGTTTGCTTCTAAATTTCGCCCCTAATTTATATGTTAATTTATTGTAAGGAGGTTTTCTCATAATTTGATTTCGAAAACATCTAAATTTTAACGTAGATGCCTCGAATTTATATCTCTATACAGTATACGCGGTCTCTTAATTTTTACTTTGTCTCGTAATAATTTTGTACTTTCACCGAAATTGTCTAAACTTGGCCAAGCAGCCGTTGTTCTTGAACGAAACTTTGGCTTGTGATTGAGTTTTAGATTAGTTTCCAAAGAAATCATTAGATATATGAGAAAGTTAGTTTTTGAATTATCGAATACTCCTTTTATTTATCTTCAGAACGTTTATACCACGTCTTTAATTTCCTGTAGGTAACACCTTCATATTCCGTATTCTAGCCACAAAATTCTGGAGTTTATGTGCTTTACAGATTGTGACTGGCTCTACCAAGATTTCGCATGCAACAAATCTGAGCAAGAGGGAAATTCTTGCGTACTTGCTAGTCCAAGCTACCCTGGTGTGTATCCACCTTATCGACAATGCAAATACCACATCACTACTAGCAATGAAAACATTCAAGTACGCATTAGTTTCACTGCACTACTCTTACCGCAGTAAGTTCTACATAACCTCTAAATGTTTACTTTCACGCAACTATATACTATTGGCAAATAGAAGTAGCGGACCTAATTTTTAATACCGCTATAGGATTACCATAAAAGGACGAACTTCTGTCAAACAATGCTTATTATCCTTTTATTGTTGTCTTTTCTACCTAGTCTGGCCCTATTTTCAATGCCGCTTCGCTTAACTCATCTTCATCTCACACCTGTGCTGATGTCTGTTTATTAATAGAAGGGTAATAAACATTTTTTGACAGAAATTCAACTTTTAACGTAATACTATTACTCTCTTAACTGTCACTTCTTTTTGTCAACACACTTATGCAAAAATGTTAACGAAACAACTGCTTTTAAAAAATTGGCTACCTTTACAAGTGCATGTCAGGGACTAGCTTTTCCTAACACCTTTCAACACACAATTCACAACTTTCGGATAAAGCTTGATTTCATTACAATATTACCCTAATCGAAACGTGTCTCCATTCTAATTGTTAAAATCATTTTTTATAAATTGGATTAGTCTCATGTAGCACCAATAAACACCTCTGCTGTGTTCCTAGAATTTCAAAAACATTATGTAGTGGGGGTTCTGGCTCACTTTTTGATGCTTATACAACTTTGTGAGAACACAGCCACAAGAAATACATATTTAAAATGATTTTCATTACAGTTAACAGTACGCGGTAAAATCGTAGAATAGGACAGTCATACTTTTGTTCCTACTGAGAAGAGCAGAAAACTTGAAACCATCTTTCCGTAAATATGGTATCCGTTGAAACAAGTTTAAATTTTTTGTTTAAGAATCTATCTAAAATACACAAGACACGGCACTCCGCATTTTCTTATTACCTCAAAAGTTTATCGCATCTTGCATTTCAAGACTTAGTGAAGATTAACTATAAAACGAACTTGTTACAGGAATTGCAAAACAGATTACATATCGATTTACCAAGGTTCGACAACAAGTAGTCCTTTACTTACAACTTTGTGTGGTAATCAGCGTAAAACTTTGGAATATTATGGACTAAATTTGCTCGTAGAGTTCAGGTAAAGTATTAATGCAAACAATTCTCTTAAATTTAGTTTTTCTGTGATTAGACTCACGGGAGACACAATACCTTTTAAAATTCACAAAATCGTTGTTCTATTTCTTTGCTTCTTTCACTGTAGATCTGGGTCTCAGAAACCACCATTTGACTATAACGGCTTCGTCGCAACTCTAAAGTTTTCTGAAAGGTCTCTAACTACTGAAGCAACTACCACGGTACACATACACCCTCGGACGACAATGTCTAATCTAATTTTTCGTGAGTAAAATTTCTATCTACTTTTTCGAGGTTTGTGGTATAAGGATCAAGAAATAAAATCGAAGAGCGTACTTGCGATACGTTACAGGAGTGTTTTGTTTTTTAGCAATGAACGAATCCATTACGTCTACCCCGGAGACTTCTAGCTGTGACATTCTTATATCCGGAAATAATACGAGGTCTGGTCATTTCGATACCAGGGAACATGAGTGGCATCCTATTTGCCGCTTAGTATTCCAAGGCCGTGTAACCGACGTAGTTCATGTTTCTTTCTTTAACTATCGATTACGGTAAAAACGGTTATCCGAAATTGAGACGTTAAAGTCTAACAAACACTTTTTAGAACCCCTTCATGTAAGTCCGTAATAGAAGTAATAGATAACAGGATCGAGGACAAGAGAAGCATTATTGATAGAATATGTAGCCCGATCTTGAAGCAGTCTAGAGATCAAGACTATCGTTCTGCTGAACCGACGTTCTTATCTACCGGTAACACAATGATAATCATACTAAAGAGGTCATCGGCACCCCTTTCCACAAACGAAGCTGAATTCCTTGCGGGAGCGTATTTCTTTCATGACGGTAAAGCATTACTCAATATTTAACAGTGCTGAATAAATCATGTTAACTCGATGTTAACGCCCACATATCAAACACCGTCATGGTGTTTGTTGTGTAGGAACAGCGTGGATTAATGTAAACTTTATTAATATTTTCTTTAGAGCAAATAAGCGGAACCATGCAACCTAACGCATTATGCGACGTGAAGTTCAACGGGATTAACAGCCCTCTAGCAGGAATGATAGATAACCCAGGCACCCAGCACCTGTATTGGAACATCGATGGTCCTTTATCCTGTCGCCAGCAATTTATTCCCAGCAACAACCAAAGCATAACCATAAAAGTCCAAAGTATTGAAAATATGTCCAAAGAACCGAACTGTGTGACACAGTGCGGTGATAATGGCTGTCGCTGTGTTTCAAGCAGCCCCTTGAAAAATATCGATCATCTTATGTTACTGGGCGATAATAACCTCAATATAGCCTGTCTCTGCGGCAGCTTTCAAACGGAAGGCTTGCCAGTCAGTGCCCGGACTTGGGGATCCCTTACGGTCATCTACTCGGTAGCATATTACACTTGGACCAAAAAGGGCTTCGGATTTTCCGCATCCTACGCTTTCAATACAGATACGATCTGTGGCGAACATATCTACACGGTCCATTCAGGTGAGCGTACTACAACTTTGGCTCTCTTTAACACTTCCTTAATAGGTGAAATTGTAATGAAAAATCTAACGCCACCGGAAAATCTTAACCACTTTTACCAACAAAGCTGCACCTGGACGCTACACTCCAACGTGGAACGCCAGCTAGAGCTAGACATCACTTCCGAGCAAAACCGTAAGTCGCTCCCCCCGAGTTCCCACACAGCATGCCGCGGAATGCATCTCTAAACCTAGGACTCTGGTGACCCTACTTATATACTGCTTTGTAAAAAAATCCGAACATACGAAAGTCGTGTCACGCATTTTCCAAAAAGAGTCCACAACTGGTCTTCTTGGAACGGTACCATTTCGTGTTTCCGTACCGACGACGACAAAATCTATAATTACAATCAGCCTCAACTACTACCATAAAATATCGTGCGACGGCTTGCAGCTGGTCTAAATTTGACGTACTCTGGTGGGTTTTTCGCCACCAGGAACAATACAATTTCGTTCGTTATTATACTTGATCCTCTTGTTACACCAGGTACAAATACCACATCTTGCCACCAGAGGTAAACACAAAAATAATCAATAACACGGAAAGGCGAAGTGACTTGATTTAGCGATAAACCGAAGTTATGGATGTTTTGCGACCAATGGCTACTAATCTTTCGGTTCCCACCCTCCGAGTTGTTATTGACAACAACTTCTTGGGACCTCACAGCGGCTATTTGTCAAGTTTCTTTTTATTTTCTCCAATATTGTGCTGTGACGACCCACTGCGATTTATAGAAACGGGCGATTTCAGGATTGCCAACACCTTCCTTTTCAGCGACGGCATTCACAGAGTTAGTGTGAACGCTGGATAAATAGAGTTAACATCTTCAAAGACGGGAATTCGATATTTAAAAATATCAGAGTTCGCATTTCTTACAGGGCGGTATATAAACTAGAAAAGAATTTCAGTGGAATGCTTCTTCTGTAGGAATAGCGAATGAATGTCCGGGCGGTAGTGCAACCATACCGAATGTTATAATCATAATAATTACAGGTCCTTGCACTGCTTGGAATATTAGTATCCACGAGTACTCCCCCAGCCCTGAGAACCAACACTTAGGGGAACTGCATCATATATTTTGCTCAAGAGATAACCACAAGTCGTACTTACTACCCTGGAAGCTTAACACAGTTGTCATAAGGTATCAGCGGTGAAAACTGTGTTGTAGTTTTTTAAGTGTCCATTTGTAGATTGTTCACACTCAGTAGAACTCTACCCCAATTTAAAATTAAATGGAGATCGCAGGTAGTTCGAGCCAATACGAGATTCATTGGAGCACCGTCAGCTGCACCTAACGCTGTGTCATCAACAGACTACCTTGAACCTAATTCCATGAGCCTTCTATATATGCTTTTAATCTTAAGCAAACTGTGTTTTTGGTGTGGACCTAGTGGATTAAATAGATGAATATTGCAACGATAAGACAACGCTCTAGTGATCGTATTATTATTTGCACATAACAAATTAATGTTGTTCTTAAGTTCAAAAAGTCTAACCTAGACATTGTAGTCTACCATGCAGATTTTGTACTTATTTTAATTACATATATTGTATATAAACGAAAAATATGCCTTTGAGGCTGTATTTTTCTAAACATCTGCTCAATTTGATTGCCAAAAACATACATCTAAAATTTAACTAACTGAATGGGATTTGTCCCCCGGACACTTAACCTATTACGTTTCAATAGATCTCACACTATCACTTGCCAACCAGTTCATGATGGTTAAAGTTCCTACAACGTCAAACTGGGTTTACTTGACATTCTAGTGTTGAATTTTGGATGTATAACGTCTTTGATGTCTCTAAAAGAATGATATTCATTCTTGACATTCGTCTATTCATCTGTCTGTGATATAAAACTATTCGAAATTGCGATCACAAAAAAAATCAGTATAAATATAAAGCAATAATACAGGTAAATTGGGAATACTTGGATGAATAGGAAAAAACAAGAACTTAAGTAAGTTTGGAAGTGAAAACTTCAATTTGACGCTACTCTAGTCATTAGATGGTAATTTTCTCAAACAACACTGTAACAACAGAGAATTATCACTATCAGTATCATTAGATGCTTAGCCATGTACTAAATGCTGACATAACTATATTTAAAATTTAGAAATTACAAGTTGCGTTAATTTTTCTGTTAAGTTTTACAAACATTTACGAAAAGCTAGCATAAAATTTGCACGTTACATCTGTAAATTACAATTTAGCATTACAAAATTTTAAAAAACAAAAACATCTCGATATGTATCTTCATATTGTAGCCTTTTTTGGTGCCGTTTTTGTTGCAAATTGAGCAGCTGTTAATGTGTTAAATAGCACTGCACAATTTTGTTGTAATGTTAGGTTTGTGTCAATTATGAGATATATTATATGAAAACACAGTCTTCGAAAAGCATTCGTTTTGCAATAAACCCAACTAGCAAACAACGTTTTTTTTTCCACACTCACTACACCAAAAACGATCGAAGGAACGCGCACGCGCTCTGTGCAGCTTCAACGGTCCCTTTCTATCGACTGTCACACGAGAAGTCATCTGCCTACTGGTCACTTGAATTTGGCGCCACATTCGCTCCACTTTCCGAATGAACTCAAATGGATCCTCTACAAACAGTAACCTTTTTTGCTTTCCTCAACTTTTCTCTTCTCGTTACACATTCTTTCACCGAATCCAAATCTCTTTTATTTCTCTTTCGTCTACATCTGAAAATTGAAGACGCTCACTGACCGAAACATCTTATGATCAATTTCAGTGTGGTCCTTTGTGCCCTCTCAGTGACCGTTTTCGATTCTAGACCTAACATATATAACTACGACTTGCACCGACTCTTCAACACAACTTTTCTTCTAATTTCACTAATTTCTTGTTTTTTCTCAAATGAATGCAAAGACAGTACCAAAGAAGACGATAAAAATACGAAAAAAATTATAATAGGGACATCCAGAAAGGTACCAAAAGAGAGATTTTAGTGAAAACAACACACACATTGGTTCTATTTCTTTGTCAGCCCCGTTGCAGATAAATAAGGACCAATAATTAATCCTAGTGGGTAAAAATAAGAACACTGGGACTTCAGTCGTAAGAAATATTGATTTCTCAGTTTATTTTTTCTCATTTTCCCGTTTTAAAATTTGTATGTTTTCAGACAAAAAAAAACTAAATTATATAGAATACTCTATTTATTTACGTTTGTACCTCCTAATACAAATTTCTCTATACATACATCTAGATGTCTTTACAACTCACAACTTTCTGCTATAGGCATCGCAACATTCCTGTTGTGATTTTTCCTCTGGAAGCTAGGATTGGCCCCTGCATCAATTTCCTTCTTGTACAAATGGGCAAGTCCTGACATTGTGAGGCAGTGTGCCGGAACCTGTCTAGAAACAGTACGTTTCTTATACCCAAAGTTACAATCCGGCAGTGGTCTAATGCTAAAGCAAATCTGGTCACCCATAATCACATATTTAGTTCTATAGTTTATCGGGGACATTGCAAGTCCGGAATCGTAAACGGAAACAACATCAACATAACCCACTGTCTTTTGATAACACGTATTGTCTTCTCCTTGAATCATCAACATACCATTCATACGTTTAGTATCTTGCTTTTCAGAGACGGTGTTACTAGCGACGAAGACTTCAGAACTACGGATGACACAGTTTCCAGGATAAGTAAAATCTGTTTCGGGCTCTCCGGTAAAAGTTCCACAAAGACCACGTGCAGCATCGCGGAATTTATCATTAGTAACAGTCAATTTAGCGCGAACTCCATCATAAACTATGGTAAAAGCGTCATAGACTACCATTTTGACTTCGTTGTGGGGTAATGTGTACACTTGCATGTAACCCTCATGAACATGGGAGGTCGATTCTGCGTAAGTTATTGGTTCATCTTGAATGAACAGTCTAGGATATCCAGTTGTAGTACCAGAGGGTTTAAGTGTTACGTCAATCACTTTGGCCAGTGTGTTTGGTGACTGAATGACTATTCTGATCTCTTTTTGAAATTTGTTCTGAGATTGGTCTTCTGGGTTAGCGCGTACGTATACAATGTAACCTTCAATTTGTTGATTTAGTTGATCCGTAACTGACAAGTCTGGATATTTTTTAACGGAAGATGGTCTCCGTGGGACGTAGTGGAACATAACGACCCAATCCTTGCCCAGAGTAACCGGGTAGGTCTTGTTGTCCAAAGTGTTAACAGCATCGTAGTCCACCACGCAAAATGCTGAAAAACAATCCTGGAATTAACGAAACACAAAGATAGAACCTACCTTGATACGAGGGGTCATTAAGGAGGTGTCCTTGAACGTGTGTTTTGGTTTGATGTACCGGGTGAAGTACAAGAGGCTGCCTCGAAAGTGGATCCATCGGGAGCTTATCGATTTCAATTCTTCCAGAACTACCACTAATAGAAGCACTAAGGGACGATAAATCTGGACTATATTGACCCTTTATTATAACACTATTCCTTCCATGAGAATAACTATCTATGATGTTTTCCGAAATTCTGGGATACATATAGTGACGCAAAACACTATACAACTTGTAAGTTTGATTCACCACCACAGGGTCTATGTTTTGATACTCAAAACTGATCATAAATTGGTCCAAAATGCTGGATTGTGCTGTCAAAATCGCACACGGTGGTAACTGGTGGTTACCTTTTGTCATTTGTTCCTGACAGACTTTATATTCCGGTTGATTTTTTAAATATTGTTTGCGATTTTCACTCCTAAATAGTTGTACTTTGGCATTGATTTGTGACTCATTTTCGTCTCCGTCTACTGTGCCTTCAATTTCAACAGTAGCAGAAGGATCAAAATTCAAAACAGAGTCCAGACTAAGACTCGGAATGTTAGGAATGTTGCTATTACTGACAATATATACTTTTACAGGCTTTTCTTCTTGGTTGTCTTTCGCCACCTGCATAAGAATACGTCCCTTTGGGTCAACATTGCTTCTACCCCCAGAAATAGTTGCAGAATATTTCATTACTTTTTGACCTTCAAGTAATACTACTGCGTCAAATACTTCAGCTTGTACGTTACTAATACCCAAACTACTATTTTTCAAAAATTCACTTTGTCTTTCCCACGATTCTTTAGAAATGGGATGTTGAGTCTGAATTTTTTCTAAATCTTTAGGCTTCGACGATCCAGGCGAATATTGTTCTTGGTGACCTAAATGAATCACCATTTTGTGGACAGTAGTTTGGGCAGACCTAATTCCAAAATCAATTTGCACATGTTCGATGTTTTCGTCTAACCACGATCCAAGAAACATGGCCATCAAACCGTTATTTGTTATCTTGTTATACAAAAACCCATAATCGATCTTTTGGTTACCCGTCATCTTTAAAGAGAACGCAATTCCTGTGGACTTTTCTCCAAATACAACATCCATTTTTTGGGGGTTTCGTTGAAAGATAATTTCCTTATGATGTTTTATGCTACAAATGTCATTCTGAGTAGTATACGGCCAAGTACTGAAATGTACCAAAGTCACATTATTCTCTGGTTTGGGGTTCGTGATTTCCCACGTCGTTTGCTTATTTTTGACATCAAGATGAAGTTTCGCGGTTAAGTGCGGTATCAGAAGTTGGAAGTTTTTGTCGTACCCTGCACTATAACGCTTATGATTGAAGGGTGTAAAGATTCCAAACTGACTCTGCGCTCTTCCAGTCATAAACCCGTGGACTTGAAATTCGGCATTGACTGTTTCCGGTTTTTGAAGACCTTCTTCAGAGTAGACAGAAGGGTTAGACACGACCTTGACGTCACTTTCTAAATGGATCATAGTCGGTCTATCATAGGAGTGAATAAAAGGCAAACCCCACGAAAGCGGAAACGAGACGACCATTTCCGGTTGAACAGCCATCTTGTTATAATCTAGGTGTTTTCCATGTTTTAGTTCTTCCTCGATCTCTCTAACAACTAAACAATGATTAGCAAGCTATTGAACAAACGTCAAACTCCTACCTACCTTGTGTTATGTTTTCGATCGTTTGATTATCAAAGGAGAATATTTTTTGCAGAGATGCTATGTGGAAAAACATGTAACTTTCAAGTTGTTCTCTTTGTTCGTTCTGCATGTTCAAAAGTTTGGCAGTATGTTCGCTGGACCATTTGGTTTTAATACTTTCAGACGCTTGTTTCTCTTGCAGTAATTGACGATAAGACTTCGTTTGTTGTTCAAACACATTTGTTAAATCGTCAACACTGGACGTCAAAGTTTTGAGATTGACGATTTGTTGTTTAACTCCTCCCACACGTGATCGCAACATGTAGTTGATACCTCGAGGTAAAACACAGTCTTCACCGCCCACGAATTCCGTTATTTGCTTGATTTCTATCTTCATCTGCTCGACCATGTAGTTTTGCAAATATATTTTGGAGTTTTGGGTGTCAAAATTTTCTGTGGTTAAGTAAGGTTTAGCTGACCATGCGGCCTCCCGACTAAAAAATTACCAAAAAAAGTTTTGTAAACTTGTATGGTTGTAGTTACTTACATTTTAGCCAGTCGTGGTACATCTAGAGTAGCTGCAGCTTCAATAGCTGATTTGACTGCGACATTAACTTGAATACTTGTATCAATTTTGGTGTATGCAGCCATTTCTTGCAACATAGCTGATGAGGGGCTAGCACGTATGAGTTGGTAAACGGCAGCGACCCGCACTTGGTCAAAGTCTTTGGCATTTTGGTAAATTTTAAACAAAACGGAACGAGCAGCTTTGGGTTTATTGTTAACCAAATTGTCAAGGGCCATCACCATTAAGATCCTTTGGAACTGGGACACCTTTTTCTTCCCTTCCAAATATGGTTTAAATACTGACAAAATACGTTGATGACCAACATTACCAAGAGCACGAATGTATACATGAATTTGTTTAGTGTGCGTTTCAGTTACAGCTTTGTCAAGCATGGTAGAGAAATATGGAATAACTTTATCTTTAACAAAGGAACGACCGTCTATGGTATTAAAGGTTCCGAAACTGTGAACAGGATACTTATTATGAGAATCTTTTGCGTTAACATAGACGTGATACAGAAGGGACGAGTAAGACAACACGAGGGACTCATTTAAAGCTTCCAGTCCCATAAACTGTGTATTCTGGACCATTTCAAAGAAAAATTTCATATACTCTTCTGTGGGATAACGGGCTGAGTTGGCAGCTGTAGCTACGAGTTCGGCTGCTTCATTTCCAGAAACTTGATCGTTTCGAATCCATTCTTCAATGCATTTAAGACCTGGACCTGTTCCTGTTTGGGCTACAGCATCACGGTACGCCACCCAAGTCGCCCCTGAAGTTCTATGCTGGTTCTTTCTATAAAGCTCCTCAGCTACTTGTTTCATTTCTTTGTAGTTCATAAGTTTAACCAAACTAGTCAGCATTAGAAATTTTCCTAAAGTATTTTGTTCAGGAATGTTCTTAGGTTCTTGGAACTCTTGTCCAACTATTTTGGCAAGCGATCGTACTCTTTCCTTGATGTCATGTAGCAAACTAATAGCTTGACCGTCAAAACCCACAGTTAAAGGTAACAGAGGAGCAGCAGGAGCCTCATCCATGTGCGGTTTTTCTTGAACATGAAGATAGATTTCAGGTCTTGCTACACCTCCGCCCTCACTAGATGCCGTAGAAGAAACAGAATCTTTCATCTGGCTTGAACTTGCAGAAGATCCACTATCATCAGAGTCTGTTTTGATTTTCGGTTGTGGTTTGTTGGACTTACCGAAAGGTTTGTTGTACCGGTAAACAATCCCCACACTGATCGGATTGGAAACATCTTCCATTTTTTGACTCAGTGGCTGCATAAAATCAAGAGTAATATTTACGATGCTTAAAGTCGATCCTCGTTGTGTGTCTTCTAAATTTGGTCTTAAGCTGACTTCGTCAAACGTAACTGAACTTTGCAGAGTGAAATTTTTCAAGCTCCCAGAGAGAATGATACGACTTGTTGAACTCCTAGAGAAGAACTCCCCGATTTTATTACCAATTTCAAAACCGTCAGCTCCTTCAAACCCAAAATGATAACCAGGACTTTCCTTACTGTGTGTAAAATGTTTGTGTTTTACTACTTCTATGAGTTTTTCGTCTTGGTGTTTCTTGGGGGCCAACGACGGTTCCGTTTGTAGTAGATATTCGGGAAAAGGATGAATTTCGTACAAGGTTTCACTTTCTCCAGTAACCGTTTTCTCCATGGTCTTAAAAACAGCAGTTTCTGAATCATCCTGAGGTAAAATATTAATAGAGCTACGAATTTTATTTTCAGCTTCCGTGTCAATCTGTAGTTGACTGACGACACCTTTGATCATATTAGCTTCCCAGTTTGAGATTGATCTATCTACGACGAGATCATGGACAACGCCGTTATTCATGACAATTTTAAAAGGTTTAGATGACAATGGCAACTGTTTGTAATCAAGTGGTGACTGAAGAATTTCTTGAGCATCATTTAGTTTGGAATGAAGATCAGAATATCGGACATTTGAAAGCTTAGCGATTAAATGCCCGTCGGACGTCGGTTGGATGAAGAGATCACTAGTGAGCACAATTCCGGTATAGTTTTTGTTGATTTGGTTAAGACTTGTTAAGATGCGCCCACTGACCTTGTAAGCATATTCCTGGTTGTGTTGCCAACCTGGATTATGATCCGCGTAGGCGAAACTTACTGAAAAATTGCATGCTTTAAGTACACGTTTATGTAAGCTTATGTTCGTGTTATGACGTTATCAAATATTTTTTAATTTTGTCAAAATTTAGTTAATCGTAGGTAAGCATTTACAAAAATTGTGTTCGTGTTCCCATAATTGTAAATAACAAATATTATATCTATTTATGACACCACATCTGACACCTGAAATACTCTTAATTTAATAAACAAAACTAAACTCACCTAAAAAAAGTAACAACACCTTCAAACACATGGTAACCAAAGTGTTAAAATCTTTGTTCTTTTTGATTTATATAAGAAAATTTATTAATAATTCAGCACTTCAAAGGTCAACCACAATGTACCTAATACCGTCAATCAGCATTGATAATTCTTGGTAATTTTAGATTTTTTATCTTTTATAAATAAATTTGTATTTATTTGAAAATTTTTGCTAAAATCTGCATTAATTTTATCTACATTTGTAAGCACACGGGTTTCATTGATCAATTATATTGCACCATCTGACCTTTGGTTCGTGTCATGAAAAATGCTATTTTCTTATTAGTAATGATACCGACAAATTCTCCAAGATAAGAAATGTAAATTTTAGCAATAAACCGCACCAGAAAAATGCAAAAACGTCAAAAAACGAATGATCCAGAAGAGACGAAATTTAAGTAGTGGAGCTTCTAGGTCACTTTTTAGAGGCAAGAATTTAAATTTCCCGCCAAAAAGTGGCCTAAAAGCCCTTCTATACACAACACCTAAGCAAGAATTCAAATTTTCCCGCAAAAATGACGTAGGAGGCACTTAACTACTACAGAAAATGTTGAAAGAAGTGAAAAGGAATACAAACGAGAAGATGAAAAGAACTGAGAGAATGAAGAACAGACATTGTAACTTAAGAAAGAAATACTGGAGGAGTGCTAGAAATTGGGGCAAATGTGAAAGTGAAACCATTCCGCGGTACTCAGAAAATTTAGTACAAGTAAGAAAACGACAATAACAGGTGAAAAACCAGTTTAATGTATTACAGATTAGCTCATGCTTCGAGGTGGTATTTGTTTTTTCTTTGCCCAAAACCAATTTATGTTGTAGAAAACCAGTTAAATCAAAATTGGATTTTTGGCTTACCCGAATCGATACAAAGTCGAATCTACTCCTCCTAACACGACAAACAGGAGATCCACGTTTAAGAGGTCCCTGAAGCTGTCGTGAAGCTTAAAGAAGAGCAAACTGGGCAAAAATCCTTAATAAATGTCCAATTTTTTCTAGTTACGGGGAATCTATACTGGTATCTAGTATTACGCCAGAGTAGATCCCACTCCCATGAATTGTCGGTTTTAAAGTTACAAGGGTACTCATGGTACGTCGAGCTTCTACACAAAAAAAACCTTCATAGGGTTCCACGCATGTGATGTTCAGTCTTCTAGGACAGGTTTGAATTGAAACTTCTTCCGTTTCTTCACCTCTTTGTAAAAGCTGCTCATGTATTTATCGTAATTTTTTTAGTACTACATGATTAATACCTGGAGTTGTTCTCATGCTCTACTATTGTAAACCACAGACTAAACAGGTCCCAAAACCACGTTATCCACTGACTACAAACCCCAAAAATGGTTCCTTCTGGATGGTTTGGTTTCCCCAACCCCCAAGAACAGTTGCTCCCAAGGTTTGGTTTGGTCATCAAGAACGCATATTTCAGCAACGTTTGTCACCAACTTTTGTACCAATTTGAAAACCAAAGAAAAAATATAGAGATAAACAATCTTTATTTCGTTTCTTTTTTTTACATTTTATGAATGCTCGTATAAAAAACATAACAGTAACACAAATCTTGTTCGTGGACTTCGTCACCACCTTAAGTTCTCCGCACGCACTCGAGTGGTTGTTCCATTTCCAGTTGTTTTGTTGTTTCCATCGAAGTAAAATCGTGACCGATACCCTTATCCAGTTTTGTTCTCCAGATCGCATTACTATTGTCCGGTTTCATGCAATGCACATCAACTTTAGTGACAGTCGTGCCTTGTGGTTGGCATTCTGGCTTACAGTATGGTAATGGTCGAATTGTGAAACAAATATCACTGCCACTCATCTGATACTTGCTAATGAACCCTGTACAGTCACTACTTTGCTCGTCACCTTTGCTGTAGTCTCTACTCGAGCGTCCTGCATCTTTACTCGAAATGTACCTGGCATGAACAATCTTCTTCTGGTAGCACTCAGCCCTTGGTTTAGACTTAGATCCCGTCGTGTAACTCTGAACAAAGTCTTGAGGGTCTTGAAGGATACAGTTGTCCGGAGCCAAGAAATCAGTCTCCGGCTCTCCGGTGAAAGTACCGCACAAACCACGAGCAGAATCCCTAAATTTACTATTGACAGCTGTAAGTTTAAGAGTTTTGCCGTTGAAGATGACATAGAAGGCTTGGTAGACTTCCACCTTGACCTCCTCGTTAGGTAAAGCATAAATTTGGATGTGACCGCCGTAGAAGTCGGAAGAGCTTCGTTTGTCATATCTAACTTCTTGGTCGTTGACGTAAACTTTAGGTCCTCCTCTGAGACTCGGTTTCAGTGCGATTTTGACAACTTTGCCTTTGGTACTTGGCATTTGCAAAGCCATCTGGATTTCTTTTTCTAGCGATCTTTCATCAGCTGCACGTGCGGACACGATGTAAGATTCGGTTGCTTCGTCGAGTTGTTCAAGAACGCTTTGGTCGGGGTTTTGTGGATTGGGTGATGGTCTGCGAGGTACGTATTGGAGAATTACGGTGTAGTCGTGTGATAAACGCACCGGGTAAGTCTTGTTATCAAAAGTAGATGTGTGGGTTTTATCGACAACGCAGATTGCTGAAAAGACGAGTTATACTAAAAATTATTCAAAACAAGGACTTACGTCTATAAGTGTCGATTTTAAGGCTCTGTGCGTATAAACGGGTTCTACTGTGGAACACGGGATGTGGAACCAAAAATTCTCGGGCCATCTGGCTCACAGGGACATCCTTGGCTTGCGCTTTACCATATCCACTTTCAAGTGATCCGTTAACGGTTTCTAAACTTGGACTAAATTGGCCATTGATAGTTAGGTGGTCAGTAGGGTAAGGGTCAATCACGTCTTCTTGGACCCTAGGATACAAATAATGACGGAGTACACTATATGCTTTATACGTGGCGTTAGCAATCATTGGGTCGATGTCTAGGTAAGTCATCTTGACAGAGTACTTGTCCAAAAGATTCGCTCTGGCGGTCATCTTTGCACAAGTGGGCAGCTGAGTGTCACCTTGCTTCATCTGTTTTTGACACTCAATGTACTCATCTTGTTCTTTTAAGTACCGAAGACGTTCCTGACTCTTCGAAAACTTGATGTGAGCATGAACTCTCGAAACTTCGTGATGGTGTTGCTGAAGCAATGCTTGCACAAGAACTTTAGAAGTCGTATCCATGTTCATAGCATAGTCCATGTTGAGACCGTTAGTGTTAGGAATAGTGGCATCAGCTCGTACGTAAGCTACAGTTTGGGGTTCGGGTTCACGTCTATTATATTGTCGCACATACGCTATGAAGCGACTACGAGGATCGACGTTACTTTTAGCAAGTCCTGCGGTAAGAGAATACTTGGTTTTGGAGTCTCCTACAAATTCTACAGCTGCGTCTGCTACAAATACCTGGGGAGAGTTAATATACCGGCCAACTCTATCAATAAACTCCTTTTGTCGTTTCACGTCATCATCAGCAAACGCTGGAATTGCGTTGACTTGTTGGGCAGGCTCAGGGTCATTCTGAGCAGGACTGTTTTGCTGATAATCCATTTGATAACCCATATGTAAAACAATTTGTTCCGTTGTAGACTTCTCCCCACTTATTCCTATTTCAAGGTAACCATACTGAATACCGTCACCATAAGGTTTCAACATGGGAGCAACTAAACCTTGTTGTTTCACCCTCTCGTAAAGAAGGGTTGGGTCAATGATTTTATCACTGGTAGCGTGAATATATACGGCAACTCCTGTGGATTTGTCTCCTACGACTGTGTTAAATTTGTACGGATGCGGTGATCGAATAATCTTCATATTGGGTTTGTGGTCGTCAATGCTATGTTTGGACGTGTAGGGCAAAGTGTCAAAGTATGCCAAACGGACATCCTCTTCGCTTCCGGGATTTTGTAGCTCAACCTTCAACTGTTGTCTCTGAATATTTAAATCTATTTTTCCAGTAAGTGGGGTAACCACTTGATAATGTTTGTTGTAGCCTGCGCTGTAACGTTTATGGTTAAAAGGTGTGAAAATGCCTAGTTGGGTCTGTATTGCTCCAGAAACAACAGCATTAATGTCAAATTCGGCTTTAACGGTGTCAGGTTGCTGCAGATTTTGTCCTGTGGAAATCGGGGGTTGGGCGGTAACCTTCACTTCGTATTCCACTTTGATTAGCATAGGTTTATCGTACGTGTAGATGAAAGGCAAGCCCAAGGCTGTAGGGAAAGCAAGAGAAGCCTCTCTCATGTTTAACATTTTGCGTTGCTGGTATCGTTTACCGCGTTTCAATTCTTGTTCCAGTATTTGTACAACTAAAACCCAAACGGTAAACACGATTGACAAGAATTAATAAAACTATACTTACTTCGTGGTAAATTTTCTACAGTGTGATTATCGAAAGAGAAAATGGATTGTAAGGTCCCCATTTGCAGGTACAAATTTCCTTCTAGTTGTTCCCTTTGTTCGTACTGCAAACCTAAGGCCTTTGCCACGTATTCGCTTGACCCGGGAATGTTCACAGCATGTTGCCCTTGTTTCTCCTGTTTTTGGTATTGATATTCTTTTGTCTGTTGTTGGAAAACATTAACAAGATCCTCGACACTGGAAACTATAGCCTGAGCGTTCAGAATATTCGAGGTAACTCCACCAAGTTTTTGTTGCAAGGTGTACTTAACGCCCATAGGTATAGCGTAATCTTCGCCAACAAAAGTCTGAAGACCTTGTTGATATGTCAACTGTGCTTCTTTAACAGCGTAGCTGCTCAAGTATATTTGAGAATACTGAGTTCCATATTGCTTGGGGACTAAAAGCGGTTTGGCCGCTTCGGCAGCAGCGCGTCTAAAAATTTACGTCATTAGTAAAAATATAGACAAACTAGTGCATACAATACATTTCTTTGTGTTCCGGGGCTTCGAGGTCACAAGCAGACAGAATGGCAGATTGGACAGCCGCGTTGACGTAGTGGTTAGGGTCCCGGTTAGTATGCGAAGCCATGTTTTCTAGCATTGCAACGGAGGGCTTAGTATGCATCAGTTGGAATACTGCGGCAACCCGAACTTGCTCAACTTCAGCAGGGTTCTGGTAGATCTTATACAAAACGGAGCGAGCTACTCGCGGTTTACTTTTAACAAGTTGGTCCAAGGCAGCCACCATCAAAACGCGTTGGAAATGGGACGCTTTTCTTTGTCCTTCCAAATAGGGGGCAAAAACTTCTAGAATTTCTTGTTGTCCCATATTACCAAGAGCACGGATGTAAACCGGGACATTCGGGGAATCGCCATCACGAATAGCCTCGTTCATCTTTCTACTGAAGTAAGGAATAACTCTGTTCTTAATGTAGGCTTTTCCTCGGCTGGTGCGGAACGAACCATAGCTATACACCGGATATTTCCCTTGAGATTCGTCCTTGTTGACGTAAACCTGGCGAGCGAGAGTAGTGAAGGATAACAGAAGAGACTCGTTCAAATATGGCCTCGACATTATATTTTTGTTTTGAACCATTTCGAATACGTATTTGACGTAGTCTTCGGTAGGCTGACGTGCATTACTGGTGGTGGTAGCAATCATTTGGGCGGCTTGAAGGTCCGATACTTTGTTTTGCAGGATCATGGTTTTGATGGTCATAATGGCCGGACCTGTTCCAGACTGTGCAACGGCATCACTAAAAGCAGCTTTTGCGGGAGAAGTTCCAGAACCTTGTAAAATCTGAGTTGATGCCTGCTGCATTTCCTGGCTATTCATAGTTCGTAGTAGACTGGTCAAAGCAACGAATTTACCAGGAGTGTGTTGTTGGAGAACCTCCTTAGGGTGAGGGAATTCCTGGCCGATTTCTTGGACAAGCCTCTGCACGAGGTCCACAATGTTCTGAGTTTTTTTGATAGACTGACCATCGTACCCTACGGTATAGGGCAACAAAGGAGATGGAGGAGCCTCATCGAGTTTCGGTTTTTCCTGATAATCTTGTTTCTGTCTATCTTCGGGATCCCAAATTCCTTCTGGTCTTGGGGAGGTCATGTACGGAGACCCTTCTGATTCGGCGCTATCAGGAGCCCTTTCGTGTTCGTACTCTCTAACAGGACGAGGACTGTTGTCGCTGCTGTAGGGGTTATTATAAGCATAAACTACACCTACTTCGATCGGGTTGTCCACTGTAAAGTGACCTTCGGAGCGTAGTTGACCCATTGAGTCCAACGTTACGTTCAATTTAGTGTGCACAATACCCTTGACATTGTCACCAAGGGACGGATTTAGGGCGATTTCTTCAACGGTGACCGAACTCTGAATGGTATACTTTTGTAAAGTACCGGTAATCACAGCCTGAGTGACGGACGACCTCGATAAAAATTCCCCGACTTCGTTTCCTGGCTGGTATCCACTGATCCCTTCGAAACCGGCATGATAAGAAAATGTTTGGTCACAGTGTGTGAAATTTTTGTCCTTAACGATTTCTATAACTGCTTCGTTGAGCCGTTTGTGCGGTGCCACATAAGGTTTCGACGGAAGAACATGCTGAGGGTATGGATGAATTTCGTACAAGGTCTCGCACGTTCCCGTAACCGTTTCCTCCATAGTCTTGTAGACAGCAGAGTTGGAATAATCTTGACTCAACATGTTAATAGAACTCCTGATCACGTTTGTAGCTCTGGTGTCAAGCTGGAACTGACTCACAATACTTTTGATCATGTTAGCTTCCCAGTTTTTGATGGAGTTGCTGACAATAATGTTCCTGATGGCGCTGTTTCTATAAAAAATATGGAACGGTTTTTCCGACAAGGGTAGCTTCTGGAAGGTTAGCTCTGAGTCGGGGATGTCTGTTTCCAGTCCTTCGCTCAGTTTGGTGTCGACTTGGGCATACTGAGCGTTAGTTAAATGAGCGGCGATTTTTTCATAGCCGCTTGGTTGAACATTCAGTTGTGCTTTAAAAACAACCCCGGTGTAGTCATTACTGATTTGGTTTAAGCTAGCCAGGGAACGACCGCGAACCTGGTAGACGTAGTGTTGGTCTCGTTTCCATCCGGGGTGTCCGTAAACGGATGCGAAAGCCACTGAGATAAAAAATTCGTCGTAAAATGAAATAAAATTTCGCTCGTAGGACGATATTAATGACAAATGTTGTTTGACACACCTGCTAGTGTGTTAATCATAAGTAAACATCGACGATTTGTTTTCTACATTAGGTGATGATAATATTAAAAAAAATGTCTTACCTAATAGACATAGCAGTGTTTGTGACCTCATCTTGGAAGCGACACTGAACCAAAGAAGTGTGGCATCCTTTGTTCTATCTCTGTTTATATAAGAAAATTATTAGCAATTCAGCACTTTGGTAGGTCAAACATGGGAAAAGTTGAAATGTGCATCAGCACAACTAACGATAATCTTATTGAACTCATTTCCTTAAAAAAAATGAAAATAAAAAACAATATATTTTTTCATTAGTGGTTTAAGTTTAACATATTTGTGACGTAAAAATCCACTTGATTTTATTGCTCATATCTAAATTGAATTTCTAAATTTAATACTGATGGATGCCAATGAGCGAACTCTTCCTTCTTGACGGTGTAATAGTATTTTTATTAACTAGAAAATACACAAGCGAGAAATAGTAAAAATAGTTTAAGATTTGTTTATTTTTATTTAGATGTGGTGTCCTTCGTCAGTAATTCCGTTGTACTATTAATTAATAAAATACTCTATACGTCCTTATCTAATAATATTCATTTCTGTGTGTTCCGACATTATCTATATTATAATAGCATTAACTGGTAATTTTTTATACTGACACATCGCACCTCCATAATTTTACGAAGTGTCGGTATTTTGAGGTTCCGCGTCTGTCATATATATACATTAGCGTCGCGACGCATTTCCACAGTGTACCTTAAGATTTTCGCTCCTCTCACACATGCAAAAAAGTGCAGTGGCCAACTCTGAGTAAACACAAATCAACAAAATCAAAAATACAAGATTAGAGAAAACGGAATTTTGATTCACTTTTCAAAGCTGTAAGTACCGTTAATGCATTAAAAAGCTTTTTTTGCATGTTTTCAAATTTTAGAAGTCAGCGTCGTTTAATTGGAAAAGCTTAAGAAAGGCGACGGTTCTTAATTAAACAGTTCACCAGTAGTCGGATGAAATTTTAATTAAGTTTGTTTCGTTCTGTGTAATAATAACGATGTGTTACGATATAAATGAGAACGTAACAGACACAAACAATACGATATTTGATTGGAACGAATTGATACCGACAGTTCTTGTTTATAGTGTGACATTTGTAATAGGGCTAGTGGGAAATTGCTTAATTATTTTCACCACTTTTCAATACCGTGGAATGCAAAGTGTGACGAACGTTTTCTTGTCCAGTTTGGCTTCAGCCGATTTGCTTCTCATAGTCATCTGTATACCTGTCAAGGTAAGAAGTGTCTTAAAATTTTGAATTTAGAGAAACTACGTGTTTTGCGCTGACTGTGTATATATATGAAATAAGTCGCAACTAAACATGAATGAGAGATAAAATTTCTAATTAATTGCATGTTGACGATAATATTGTGCACAAAGTGTACACAAAGTGATAAAATTAAAAAAACAATTAAATATTATTTAGCTTATAAATCAGTAATTTAGACGAAAATTTTGTTACCATGCAACGATACAGCTATCGATAACTTTTTATCTGAAGAGCTTATTATGTGCACTTATGGCAGATAAATATTAAAGCATGTGCTCGTCTCTAATGCATGTCAAATTAACTCTGTAAACAAAATAAAAGCTCGCATATTCCAAACGATAAACGGTGAAATGAAAAAAATCGCATTTTGAAAACATCTCAGCACGAAATTTAAACAGAACAATTTACACAAACTCGCCCGGATCACTCCGAATTGTGGTTTATTTTTTTATTTGCAAAATAAAAACACCATACTAACGCGGTTTATTTAAGTAGGGCTAGCATTTATTTGTTGTAATTACGTTTACCGATTTTTGAACGGTAGACACGCTTCACATTTATTAAAAATTACGAGCGATCACGTTGAAAAAATAAAATTAAAAAAAGACGAAGTTCGTGAATAAATCTTTTTTGTTTATTTTAGTGTTGAAATTAGATCCGCAACAATTATAATGACGGCATTTCTAGCATTTTCTACCAGATGTAAATAATTATCATTTCTTCATACAACTGGTTTGTTAACATTACGTAATACTCAAATGTTGATAAATTTTATCGTATTTACTGATGCCCATGACATGACAGCTATTGATTTTTCAAACTTATATGCCATATGTGGGGATATACACATTCGCTTCCTTATACAGGATGATTCATCTCAACTGATCCATCGGATTATTGTATATAAAAACCTAAGGTTTCTTAAGATCGTACACGACACAGATATAACGTCAAAATATTTCTTTATAATGCGTTTTCAGTTTGTTACAAGTTATAAGTTTTCGTTCAAAAGTTCAGACCAGTCTAAAACATCAAATAATGATTCATCTATTGGTACAATTTCCCACACTTAAATAAATCTCATATCCCATCTACTACCTCCGCTAACTCGGAGTGTTTTGACCTAGGTTGCAAATGTTTATCACGAAATTGATGGGAACTTCCAAAACATGACCTATAATCTGGACTACTCGCTTAAGGTGATACCTCAACTTTTAAAATTAAAAACACGTGACTAAATGAATGATAACATCTGTTTAATAAATTTTGCGATGACGTCATCAACTATTTGGAAGGGATAAATAACCAAATTTTGTGGCTGGCGTTATATCATTAGTCACAGTTTAATAATTTTGTCCTTACTGTTTGACGGCACATTTTTTCGATAAAAACACCAATATTTCATTCGTTTATCACTAATCAATCAACGTAATTGACAGATATATTATTAGAAGTGCAACAAATTGCAGCAATAATTTTGTTTATCATGCGCTGCATACACTAGAGTCGTAGATTGATTGTCAATATTGTTTTATCTCAAAGAAAAAATATTTATTTCTGTAATAAATTTCACTAATATTGTTCGTTTTGCTGACCAAATCCCTCGCTGCAGAGAAACCTAAAAATACCCAACTTAATTCGTTACTATGGTTTTCGATTCTGGTGCAGATATTTCATACATCGTCGTAATTAAATATTATGGGCGTTGTTATCATTTGCAGCATTTTCCTGATGTGTTTACATTCATACGAGATCGACTTATCTAAAAACTAAATTTATCTAGTATGGTATTTACGCTTCTTTTCTAAAATCCTAAAAGTTCTAAAAACCTTAATAGTTTTTGAAAATTACTTACACTTGTCTTAGAAAAGCCAGACTTATTTCGCCTAATATGTAAGGCATTTGCAAAAATGCATATTACAAAAAATATCTGACATCCACTTAACATAAGTATCCTGAAAGCTTTCTAAAAATACTCGGTTAACTTCACGGTTGTTTAGATAATATTGATTTAGTGTTTACTTGATTGAATCTTAGTTACTTCTTTATATAAATCAACTAATTCACTTGCCCCCGAGAAAAGTCATTCACCTTAGATAAGTACGATTGGCCTAAGGTTACGACAAAAATATTTTCACTTCAGTCTTTAAATACGATTTCAATTACACTCAGTCGTACGTTTTTCTTTCGTTTTATCTCCTTAAAAGTATTTGTTTATAGTAAGTGTACAATGTGTCCGAAAAGTATGGAATTTGACAACAATGGTAGAACTTATGTTTATTTATATTATTATAACCGATTTGATTATTTTTACAGCTAGCAAAATTGTTCTCCTATACTTGGGTAATGGGATTTGTGGTATGCAAAGTCATACATTATATGCAAAATGTGTCAGCAATTTGCTCTGTGATGACCCTAACAGCGATTAGTATTGAACGGTAAGTTTTTTAATTTCTTTACTTACGTACATAAAGGTCACAAAGTTAATAATAATAACATTTTACAAACAATATTTTTTCATCAGATAAGTAACTTTGTGTTACTTTTATTACAGTTTTATTTATAAATCATACATATGGAGAATATTTGTCCTCAAGTTGGCACTGGACTAACTATTATGTTATAATGTATGTTTTTAGTTACTATGCCATCGTGCACCCAATGAAAGCCAAATACATTTGTACCATCAACCAAGCCAAAAAAATAATCGCAGTAATATGGATAAAGTCCCTCATTTTAGCAGTCCCGACGTGGATTGCTCAGGTAACACTCAAGTAACAGATTTAATTTTCTTGAAGTCTCACAATCGTAGGCTCACATGCGAGTTAGAAATAACGATCCAACCGATTCCACAGAATATTTCTACTGTGTTCGCGACTGGGATGCTACAACCATTTGGCGTTCACACGAAATTTACTTATTCGTTATTATACTAATAATTCCCTTCATTATTATGACATTCTCCTATACTACTATATGTTGGGAGGTATGGAAAGTGATGGAAAGACGATCCGTTATGACCAGCAAACACGTGTAAGCTTGATGTGTAAAATATCGAATTTGTATTTTTACTACACGTCCCAGAACCTAATAATTAACAAAAGGAGTAAGGTTGCGCTTCTGAGCCTTAGATATGGACATCCTTTTTTAAGACAGTAAGTCAAGTTTCAACGGTGCAAGTGCCGGAATTCTCACAAGAAAACTTATTCTATAGATGTTGCTACAACAAGTAACTTAAGTCATTTATGAGTAAGAGTACAGTGGTAGCTAGCAAACACAAAACTATAAATTGGCTTGACTTTTGCCGCACTATTTACATTACAGTAACAATTTGTGTATGTTGGTTACCAGCAACCTTGTGGCACCACTTATTAGCTATAGCGCAACACATTTGTCAACATTCTCGTACATGCACTGATACTAGTTTTGACATTTTTACAGAAAAACTGACAAGCTTTCCACAGAATTAGCTATATTAAAGTTTCCAGTCGCTGCAATACCTACCTATTAAATAGTTTTAGCCACTTATTCTGACTTGATCTTTAGCTTATCAAGAAATCGTAGCAATAACCACGACGACCGATGCCTGGAAAGCTTCATGTTGACAGACGATAAAAGACCCCCGCCGACTCACGACGACAGCCACATGGTCAAACAAGTTGTGTCAATGCTGGTGGCAGTTGTTGTACTGTTCGCAATATGCTGGGCACCGCTTTTGACGGACAACATCTTAACGGCGTACGAAATCCTCCCCAGTATTCGCTGCGGCTTCTTAAAGTATATGTCCACGACGTTTCATTTATTGGCGTATTTCAATAGGTAAGTTGAACTTGGCGCGTGATTAAATTTGAACTTTTCATTGGTTTTAGCTGCATCAATCCAGTTATATACGGTTTTATGTCCAAAAGTTTTCGGGAGAGTTTCAAACTGGTGTTATTTTCATGCTGCTCGTCTGAGCTGCGCGCGCATAGAGGGAGCAACTACAGCCTCAGGTACGTGTCAAGAACGGGATCCCAAACTCGAACTACGTCGTATAAATAAACATAACAAGTCGTATCTTTTGAAACAGTATTTACTTGTATTATTCAAACATTTATTTTGTGTATGTATCCAGAAACACAATACTTTTTGTTATTTGTAAAAAAGGAACAAAAATAAACTTTCTAACGACAAAGACAGGTTTAAGACTTCATTGACAACAAAACAGCCCTAATTGTGTCCATATTAAACGAGCTAAATAAGTCCCGGAAGTGTTTACGGTTTTTAGTTTCCTTTTCCAGTTCCTTCGAAATGTCACGACCTCGAGAAACAATGCAGTGTTTCAGTCCTGCCAACCTAGCCACGTTAAATCCATACGATTTAGGGCAACGTCCTTTCACCATCTTGTACAAGAACGTTACCGATTCCTCGGTCGGGTCGTCGTCGTTTTCCACCATACAGGCCTAAAAAGAAGAAAAGTAGTTCATTGCGCACGGTTAGCCACATTTCTCACGATACTTACCATATGCCCCAACTGCACGTCACTTCTCAGCTCGAAATGGTCAACTAAACTATGGTAATGGGTCGAGAATAAAGTTCGACAATTAATACTGGTCAACTTTTCCAAGTACGCGGTAGCGATGGCATTTCCATCATGCGTGGACGTTCCTCTACCCAATTCATCCAACAAAACTAAAGAAAATGGCGTCGCGTGGTGTAAAATGGTGGCCGCTTCAGATAATTCGAGTAAAAATGTCGACTGCCCTTGCACTATGTCGTCGTGGGCACCCAGGCGTGTGAAAATCCTATCGATCAAAGAAAGTCTGCAGGAAGCAGCCGGAACGTAGCCGCCCTAAAATAGCCGCGGTATTTTTGTGTCCACAAAAAAATTAACCTTACCATGTGGGACATTATACATATTATGGCAACTTGACGCATTAGGGTGGATTTGCCACCCATATTGGGTCCAGTGAGGAGTAAAATATTCGCGTGCTCTTCGATTCCGAGTTTGGTGTCATTAGGGACGAAACTTTCCACGTTTGCGACGCAAGGGTGGCGGCCATTTTCGATAGTGATTTTGTTCTATTTGATGTTAAAACACGATTTTTTTAAGTAACTTAATCGTCTAAGTTCTTAAACGATTGTTGACCTACTTACCGCTCCTCCAATCGGTTCAATCACCGGTATGCAGATATCTTGCGAGAAACAGCGCGCATATTGTGCCAAAGAACACACCACATCCAACAAACTAATACATTCTATAGCTTGTTCCCACTGCGCATGCCTGCAACAACCCATCAGTGACTTAACTACGACTTACTACACACAAACCTTTCACTAAATTTTTCAAAAATCCGTCGATTCAAATCCTGGATAATTTTAGCCCTCTCGCTTTCCGCTTTCATCATGTCGGCCAGAAGTTGCTACAAATCGAAAAATATACCCCGAACCTGCCTGACCTGACTGACATACCCTGCTCCTATTCGTCGAGTACCTTTTTGACGGCTTCGCCCCTTTCTTCGTTCCTTCGAGCTGGTATTCACTCGTAACCTTTTTAGTGTGACTTTCGGGAATATCAATCTGAAATCGTTTTTTATCCGAACCGAAATAGGAAACCTTGCAACCGAAAAATTTTTGCAGTTCCGCTAAATACTCGTCTAGGTCGTTTTTCACGTTTTTAATACCCTCCTCGGCGGCGTCGTAATTCTCGTCGACGCCAATTTTCGGGATAATTTTGCCCTCTTTTTGCGCTTCTTCTTGGTCGAACGCGTTCTACACAAACCCTATTGTAGTAAGTACACGATAATAATGCAACTTTACCTTGAAAAAGAGTAAATGTTCGCTCAGATCGACATACATGCCGTCGGGACTAAACTGGGTTAATCGTTTAAGCAACGGGGATTCGCACTCTTTGAAGACCGAGTTTAAGTTTTGGGCCAATTCAAACCCTTGTAACGTTTTTAGTAAATCGGCAATGCGTCTTTTTGAGTAGGTGTTGGCCTCGTAAAAGACAGCCCTGCTGTCTGGGTGGTTTTGCGCAAAAACGCTATTTCCGTACGTGTGAATTCTAAAATAAACAGTGAGCTAGAAGCCCCACTACACAATTACTTACTTTGCTAATTGCCGCTCCAAATCTGGCAATTTTTTGAGGATTTCTCTTGCTTCTTCCAAAACGCTCGAATTTTGGTACAACTCGCGCACTGCTTCCTGGCGTTCTTTGATCTGGTCTACGTTACATAACGGACGACATATACATTGTTGAAGCGCCCTTTTACCAAAGGGCGTTTGACAATGGTCTATTACTTTTTGTAAAGATCCATCGTCACCCAACAAATTTAAATTGACGATTGTTATGGCGTCCAGAATCATGGAACTTCGTTCAATGGATTCCTTATTTTCGATGTTCAGAGGTAAGTAAAATTTGAATTTGCCCATGGACACTACTTGAATGTCAAGTTTGGAATCTATCAAGTACCAGACGCAAGCTCCTAAAGCCCGTATGGTGAGTTCGTAGTCGGGTTTAGCGTTATCTGTACACAGAAAAAAAAAGTGACGAATGTGAACCAGAAGCCCCACTATGTAACTACTGGCTATAGAACACTATTCACTGATTTTAGTATATAATTCTACAATACTTAGTCAAAACGTTTCGAACTCGATCTACGTACATCCTTCTGTAATGTCCTTGATAAATGGGGGTAGATTCACTTGGTTGTCTTTATCGCGAAAATAATTCCCATTGATGAGTCTTTCTATTGTAGCAGCTGCGCTATAAAATTGTGTTTCAGACGCCAAGGTTTCCTTTCTCACGTCTCTGTAATGTGTATTCAAAACTACTTTTAACTTATTACTCAATTTCTTGCGTTCGGTTAAGATCTACAATTCAAAACGTCTACTTAACACTTAAAAAAATATATTTTACTCACTAATCCTGGAGGATATTCTGAAAAACAAGTCAAAAGTTTTGAACAGTGTTTGTCATCCTCGAACTCCGCCATGTGAAAAACACCGATTGACGTGTCTAGGAAACAAATCCCGAATCGACTCTTTTGATCTGGTAAGTCCTACAACCGAGACAAAGTATAATTTAAATTTTCGTCGACGTTCACGTGAAACTCGCATGAACAGCCTGCGCACATTAATATATTGTAACTATGCAACCAAACATACACACCTTTTCGGAAATTGCGTACATGTAACAGGATTGAGCGTGCATAGCTTCCGGTAGTTGCGCTCCATAAACACAAGTAGCTTTTGTGGTAATTTGACAAATTTCCCGATTCACAACTTTATCAAATTTTGTGGTCTTTCCTTGCTTCTTACAACGTTCAGCCATCATTTCAGGGGTTTCAGTTTGCTCTGTTCTGGCTACCTTAAATCCTTTCTCAATTAAAGCATTGGCCATTTTATGGTACGCACTTTCTGGGAAGCCTGAATGGGCGAATTCGCCCTAAGAACAACAAATAATAATAGTTATATATAAAAATTAAAAATTAAAGTTGTTTCGACAGAACTTCTCTCGCTAGTACAATGAAACATATTTCCGCACTCTGTATAAGCAAAACGAAAAAATATGACTGCAGTAATTTCAAATGTGTTCGGTATTTATTGAACGATAAAAAAAGCAAAATCATAATGGGAAATGATACTTCAAACAAAACGCAGGCGGCAGCTCTTTGGCGGGTTACTGCCTGGATGCAAGTCGTAATTGATTGGAACGCCCGCAAATTTAATCTACATGCTATCCCTAATACAAATACAAAATTTGACAAAAATCGGCCCAATACTTTCGGAAATTATCTGTCTAATAAAAATCCGGGACGGCAGACAGACGGATCGACGCACAGACAAACAGACAGAAATCGCTTACGCTCGGGAAGTAAAAATAAAAATAAGAAGACATACCTTCATGTATGAAAAACCTAAATGGTTGACTCCTACAACAGCATCCATATGATACAATTCATAAAACTTGCCAACTTTAAAAAAAAGCACAGAGTCCATGTGTGTGCTCTTCAGAATCCACCACTGTCTCATGGCTGGAGTTTGCTTATCCAGAAAACTGCCAGGAATATGTAAAGTCCGCGAATCATAATCTGGATCATCAGCTTTTCTTTTTTTAATATCGCGGATTTTATCAGGCTGTAGGAACTCCAAACGATTGTGTAACCAGTTCAGGTTAATATCGCTTGTAGAAGTCACAGGGGGCTTAATTTCCTTGCTACTTTCGCTCGCCGCCGACGACTCCCCACTGCTTTTCTCGAACGCAAATTTCTGCAGTTTTGTTTTATCATCACCATCGGAATCACTAGCCTGTCGTTTCAAATTTTTCTTCTTTTTCGGGGTGGCTTTCACAGCTGAATTCTCTTCCTCGGAATCGCTGTCGATAACCGCGATTTTTCGTTTCTTTTTGGCTTGAACCGGTGACTGATCGTTTTTACCTTTAACATTGACAAGTTAAGTTAGACAAGACATTTTGAGGTTTTAGTTGGAAGGAACACACCATTGACAAGCTCGTCGACTTGCTCTGTCCCATTTTCCTTCTTGATTTCTTTTTCGCGTTTAACTTTCGGCGACTGGAAATAATTTAACAGGGTATTACTTTGGCCGGAACTGAGGCGTTTGGACATTGTAAGCACAGTGACAACACAAAATTGTAATAGAGAACGGGAAGACGGACTTTGTTTTGCTTTGAAACGTGGACAACTCACAAAATAGCTCAACGAAATCCACCATAAACACAAAATCGCGCCTTTTCGGACCGCATTTCAGTGTTTGACAGAGAGTAGCCCCCTCCATTTTGACAAACAGTGCTACCAATAGCAATAGCGACAATAGAAATTGAGGTTCTCGATTTTACTAGCGACAGAATTTTAGAAAATTAAAGCGTAAAAAAGTGCTTAATCGTGTACACACTTCCAAATACTTTATTTTAAGCCAGTGTTTAATTTCTCTTTTGTGACTTTAAACAACGTAACAAAATGAAAGTTCCTAAACAACGACCACGCACTCTTTAATAACTTTGAAAAAAAATAGCATCCACTGTAACTATGAACAAAAAGGCTTTGGGTAATTTCAAATAAATAGAATTTATTGATGCTAGAGATTTAATTTGAAGTGACGGAAATCCATAATATATACAGAAGAGTTAGATTGTCTCCTTTTACATTAAAATACATGTAACACCCAGGCAAAAACGAAAATAGTGTGTAAAAAAATTTATTAACATATAAAAATACCTTAAAAACATACAACACACGTCCTCAATTATAAAATACATAATAAAATGGAATGCACATGTTCACAAATCATAAAAAAATAAAACAATAAAAAAATAAAAAGTACGGAAAGCAAATTAAAGTACAGGTCTCACAGCAATTTCCATGTCGGGATAAAATTGTTCATACTGGAAATTTGGGAACAAGTTAAAACTTAAACATGGAAGAAGTGAATTTTCTTGAACTTTTTGAAGAGATTCAAACAACACGCTGAAAGTGGGTCTTTCGTCCATATCAATCTGCCAACAATCGAGCATTATTTGGTAAAGCTCATCACTGAGATATTGCATTTGAGGTAAGCGCAACCCTTTTAGAATTCGGTCGGGGATTTCGTTATTGGAAAAGTTGCCATAGGGGGTCCCCCCTAAAACAAAAACAAACAAAAAACAGTAATTATAAAATACAACACAGTAATGACGCACCTAAAACACAGATCTCCCATAAAAGACAAGCAAACGACCAAACGTCACTTTTTGAATTGTGCGGTTGCCCTTTGAATACCTCCAGTGCCGTCCAACGAGTATAATCAGGTAAATTGTTATGACTGTAATACTGAGCCAGTCCATAGCCGCTTATTTTTGGAACGAAGCCATTGGCTATTAGAACGTTGCGCGCGCACAGCTGCTTATGGACGATCTTATTTGATTCGAGATGAGCCATGCCTTTTGCTATGTTTGTGCCAATACCTAAAGCTTGAGATTCTGACATATTGCTAAATTTACCAGGTAGCGAGTCCCTGCTCCCTAATAGTAAGTCTTTGAGATTCATAGATACATATTCTAAAACAACCACAACCATCTGAGTAGTCTCACAAGTTCCAATTAAGGCAATAACGTTTTCGTGTTTTCCTGTTTTAACCAACAAATCTAAATCACGAAGCATGTTTTTTTTGTCTTCCGGGGATAATTTTTTATCCGGGACGCTGTAAGCTGCCACTGGTACTAAAGTATCGTTTTCATAGATTGAGCCACTGTTAACTCTTCCGAATCTTCCTACTCCTAATAAATTCGTCGGTTCTATTTTTAACTGGTTGTAAGGTATTGTTCTCAGCCTTTGTTTTAAGTTTCTGTAATGATTCGCTTTTGTGTGTTCTTCCTCTGGTATATACCCATTGTTTTCCTAATGGTGCTAAATTTTAGTAAAAAATTAGTAGTCGTGGTAATATACTTGCCACTTCTATCATCGGTCCTTGGAGGGTCAACTCCTGATTTTCCGATAACCGATGACGTCTATTTGTAACCCGACTTTTTAAAAGTATGAACCCGATTATTCCCGCGATGAGCATAAAACTGAGCAAACCAATGGCAATTGATAGCCCTATGATAACAGCTGGCGAGTCGCCGCTGACTTCTACTTGATTGCCGTACTCGTCATGTACCTCTCTAACGTGATTCTCGACACTACTAAAGGCTCTTTTGGTTTCTCCATTTAGCGTACTAACAATCCCTGCTATAATTTTATAAGACACATTTGATTCCAAAGGCGCATTGTAAAATCCGTTGTAATATCTACCGTCCCCGACTCTAAAATTTTTCCGGATGTTCTACAACACGCGCATTATTCACGGACCCCACAAATGTTTACCAGTACCTCCGGGTTTAGTTTTGCTGCTATGTAGTAATCTATACCTTCTCTTTTGGCTTCGTCGTACGACTTCAACAGTTCTTCTTGAAAAATTTGTTGACTGTCTTCGTTCATAACGACAACTAAATACGACGTAATTGGTCCGTTGCTGTTTGGAGTTTCCATTAGTTTCACTTCTACGGTGGTACCTTCTTTTTTTATTACTTTGGGAGACTCGGGGTGATTTTCCGGCTCTAAAACACCAATTTAGAAAATTCGGGGCTAAATTTTCGAATTAAACAAAAATTTTAATACTCACCACCGACTTTTGTCTCAATTATCTGAAAAAATTGAGCTCCAGGACCATCAGGGGACACTGCACGTAAAGTAACATTATATTTAGTTGCAGGCAAAAGAATGATCTGAGTACGAAAAGTGTCGTTAGTGTATGTCCATTCTGGACTGTTAGCAATATAATTCGCGTAAGTGTGATTAACGACTGCTTTTATTAAGTAACCGCTAATTTCGGTGAAAGATTTGGGTTGTTTCCATGATATGTGCACACTTTTATCTGTGATGTTCCTAAGATGGACATCCTCAGGCGGTCCAGGAACTGAAAATAACACACTTTGAGAAAACAGCAATAAAACGACTCAGTAGACGTAAAACATGCGGACGGGTCCACTTAAGAATTTGTGGGGGGGGGGGGGGGCACTATATGGTCAGGTGACAGATTGTGACGTTATTCTCACAGCATTTCTACTCTAACACAACGGGGAAATAGCACGGACGAGAGTAACACACATTTATTTTAAAATTTGTTAAAATTATTAACAAAATTCAGACGCCATGTCAAATTGTATTAAAAAAAACTAACCTAAGTTTCCTGTGACATACACATCTGTTAGGTTTGGTTTTAATTCACAGTATGAGCAGAACTCATTGCAGAGTAATGTACTGTTTATTTCCACTCCTAGATAGTTATCACAAGAACACAAACCCCTGTCATCCAATAACGCATATCTAAAAAAATTTTTTTTGAGTTATATTTTTAAAATAATTAAAAACGCTACTTGTAGTATTTTGAGTAGCATTCACTAATGCACTGATCAACTGTGGCATGTTGAGGTAGCCGGTATGTCTGTGTCGAATGGCTATTTCTATAACAACCCTTAAATCTCTCATTCATACCCAACCCTGCACTTAAAAGCATTAGAAACAATCCAGTTCTTATCATTATGCTCGCTTTCTGGGTCAATAAAACACTAAAACACAACGCTAACACAAACACCTAAAGCAAATATTTTGTTTACCTGTTTGTAGAAAATGTCTTCAATCAGCATATTACATGTCAAATTTGCTACCCGATATGCAGTGGTGATCTCTGATATGTTTGGTCGATGAAATACGACATACCTATGATTGAGGTTAACAACAATAAATGCAAATGAACACACCCCAAATGACTAATGTGGTTTATATAGAAATGATTCACTGAAGATTTTCACATAAATTTTGGCTTTTACATCGAACCACTTTCTGGCAGCATTATTGCTGTGCTATTTTTGCGCTTTTATTTACATTACCAATCAACTTTCTGTTTAGACGTGATTTGTATTTGTTAAACTGTAAAACCGAAATGCTTCCGAATTACGACCTGTCAAATCAATGTGTCAAAACAAAGCGGTGGGCGTTGCCAACCTAACGTAACGAAACGACGTACGATTTTTTATTATCCCAAAATGAAATCCTTTTCAGTGCCTTTTCATTAATCGTCTTTAAATTTTCACGGCATTAGCAAGTTGCAGGAATTAATTCTGGCGTTAAAAAATGGCTTTAATTATTTGACATGACTGACATTTGAGTACGGGCACCTAATTGTGCATACTTTATTATTATTATTATCATATTTAATAGTGTCTCTCAATTCATGTACATAAAAAGCTACACGTCTAAATTTAGTTACAACTTTTTTAAAAAAATTCATCTTCTTTGTTTTGAACATCGGCAACAATCGCGACCTTTCGGGTACATTCGATTAATTCAAACCAAATACACGTTAGTTTTGTCTGTTTTAAACTGTCAAAGTAGTGTGTGTAAAAAAAGTGTTGGATTTTATGTTATAACTAATTCTATTGTTTGTTGTGGGTTTTATTGCGTACTGTTAGCTGCCTTCGTCGTCGTTAATAGCAGGTACATCAATAAATAGCCGAAACGATAAAAAGTTAACCTTTAATTGTCACACTTGTTTTTTATATCTTGTGAAAGACACTAAAATAAATAACATTTCTAGTACAATACAAGTTAGTGAAGCATTTGTTGGTTCTCCGAATATAAGTTTGCATGTTTATTTCAATTTTACTGTTATAAAAGTTTCTTAAAAAAAAATTAGATGTTTTGTTGGAATTTTTTACGTACGCTTGTTCTTAGAGCGAAATTTTCATTTGGGGCCTCTTTGAACATAAATAGTACGATTGAGAATTTTATGATCGAGTAATCCTTTGACGTGCGTGACGTCACTGCATTCGAATTTGACGTTAAGTGTCACGTGACAGATCTGTGTCCCACACAATCATACGTTTAATTGCTGTTTTTTGCATTTTCAACGTAGAGTCCAATATGTCATCCGACAAGGAGGCTGAAGTTCTTGAAGATGTCCCTATAGGGGATTCTACAGTAAGTTTCTTACTATGTTTTAAAAACTAGCTTTCACTTTGTTTCACAGTTTACCAAAGAAAAAACGCCAAGTAAAGACTCAACTTTTTTAAAAGTGCGTATATATTGTTTGAGTTAATTAAGCTAATTTGTTGTTTTGTTAGGACGAACGTTCCATCCGTACTTCCTTAAACTCAACTCATAGTCGCTCTTTTTCAAGTTCTGAAGCAGTGTCTGGATACAGCGATATTGTTAACATACTGGGAGATGTGGTGAGTTGTAGAATAGTTAATAAATCAGAAAATTATGTTTGTGTATATAGCTGGATCATGTGAATAACAAGATAAATACTCCGTCTGAACCTGTGAAACGCAATACGCTTGAAGAGGTAATTAGAAAATATTTATTATTATTATTATTATTATTATGACTTATGTTATTAAAGGTTGGTAACAATACTGTGATCTTAAACAAAACAATGGTAAGATTGATAATATTAAAAAAATACATATTTCTTTCTTTTCTTTTTCAAAATAAAGGATTTGTGTGCACCCGAGATTAGAAATAGTGCCCCCATGACCGGAAAGGTAAGGTTCTAACACTTGATTAAAATCCAATTTATCACCTTCTAAAAAGATATATATACATTACCATTTTTGTTTTATTTAGGAAAATCTGTGTGATCAAACAATTACCATAACTGAGGTAGGTCGACATTTCCAAAATTTCTAAACTGTGTAATTGTAAACTTTAAGGCACCAATTATTGATAGTAGTATTCTGAGCCTTCATAATGAAACAACAGACAACATTGTTGAGACACTTAATGAAACATTCCCTAAATTGGAACATTTAATATGTAAATCTCAAAAAATCCAAGAAGTTACATCATTAGAGGTGTCATTTAACAACATTACGTATATTTAAAACTCACATTTTCTTTAAGGAACACAAAATTAACACCACTGTGGTTGTCGATCTGAGTGAAACTACAAATGTTGACAAAACGGACTTTGTTTCTTCAGACACAGAAAGTTTAGAGAATGTTTCGTTGCGTGCTGAAGCACACAATGAAACATTCTCTCAACAACGTGTGGTTAAAGCTGATGTGCTTCTTGATCTGAATGGAACTAGAGATGAAAAACTCAGTCCAGTATTCGCGAAAGACAATATTGAAGAAATTGTTAAACTGACTGGAAATATAGATTTTGAAAAGGAAGACCGTGTAGCGCTAGGTAGTCCATCTCTTGCGGTTTATGATTTGTGTGAAACCTCAGAAGAGGACTCCGTTTTTGAAGAACTCGACGAAACATTACCGGTAGAAGACACGATTGAACTTATTGATCTGACTGAGACTATAAATAGTGAAGAAACGACAGTAAAAGCACTCAATGAAACATTCCCGAAAAAAGATCTAGATAAAACAACGCAAGTCTCATTTACTTGTGACTCGAGTGAAACTACAAAAACTGAAGCTCTCAATGAAACCTTCTCAAAGGAGAAAAGTTTGTGTGAAACAGTAAAAGTTGAAACTGAGACACCACTTGACCAAGTAGATGACATAAATGAAAACTCTGACGAATCTGTTGTAAGTTGTGATGAAACAAGGCTGTTAAGTTCTTCAAATTCAGAAGCTCACGACGAATCGTCGCCTTTAAAACATGGCATAACCCAATCAAATCAGGTTGGAATATTCTTAAATATTTTTGATTGGTAACCACGTACATTCACATTTTCAGCAAACTCAACCTAACGATAATATAAAAGCTGAAAATACTTTCCTAGTTGGCGAGACTGACAATATCACAACCCGCTCAGATTTGGAGGTACTGTGATATACTGATTTATTCTTTCATTTATTAACGTTTTTAGGACTCGTGCCGAGAAATTCAATTCTGTGACGCTTTGTCTTGCTCCACTTTCGAAAATGTTTGTAAATAAATGAGAATGTTTTATTTTTCTAAATTCCACTTTTATAGCACCAGGAATCAGTGGTTTCGTCCCCCAGTGTCCAGTCAGCCACGATTGAAACAGTTGATTCGTCTGATAAACAGGGAGATGTCGCAATACAAGTATTATTATTTTGTAATATTTTCTTTAAAAAGAACGCTTATCCCTTAGGAACAACCCGTCAAATGTCGCAAATCGATAATAAATTTGATGCGTTCCAAACTAGCAGACCTAGAGCCTTATAGTCCTTGCCGCCTAGAGTTAGCTGCAGCTTTTGATAATTTAAAAATTAACACCACGGCAGAGGAAAGTTTCCTAAGTTGTGAAGAGGTAAAATTATAGTTCATGTCGGCCATATTGTCCACGTGAAATTTTAGGCTTCTCTCATTGGCGATTCTCTTAATAACGACGAACCAATGGACATCTCACCAGAAAATCCACATGTAACTAAGACTGTGACGGACTTTGAAAATTCTGTAGTCATGGAAACCACCGAAAATGACAATATAAGAACAGAAAAAGAAGTGAATAGTGCGGCTCAACTAAATCCCCAAAATAAATCCGTGTCAAATATTTTTGAATCGACCCCAAAAGAAGTGGGTATCTACGTATTTTTTAAAATATATCTCATTTAATGTTTTAGAGTACTGAGTGTCCTGCGCTAGTAATTGAAGATGTGTCGGATATCACACAGCCGGAGGTACGTAACATGAAACTTTTCCTTTTCGAAATTTTTGTTCTTTTAGAAAATAATGCCGGAAGTTGATGTCGATACCAGTGGTAATAATGACGCAGCGTCACAACCAAACAGTGGAAATTTAAATGTACACAACACTTTCACGGCTCCAAAAGGACCTAGGAGGAGTTCGGGAATTACAATAAGCTCGGTAAGCACAAACATATCCACTTTATTAACAAAAACTAATCTTGGTTGCTAATTTTTAGATGAACTTTGGAAAGACTCCATCGCCGGTTAAGCAACATTTGAACTATCTAGACGAAGAATATAAAAACGCTTTAACAGAGGTAATAACACAGTTCTTTGTTGCTAATTCCATCAACCGCCCGAGTCCTTAATACACATATGTTTTGTCTTAAATAATATTTAGCAAATGTTTTAATAAATTATACTGTAGTCTCCATCAGTCTCGGAAAGAAAAAAGCCACAGTATGAGAGATACCTCACATTGAAACTAGAAATTAATCATTTGCAACAAGACATAGCGAAATTAACTCTGGAACTTAAACAAAAAGAAGGTGATATTATGCGATTGTTGCCACAAAAAATAAAGTTTCCACCGGTGACACGCAAGACACAGATTACAAATACACTTCCAGAAGGGGGCAGCTGGGATAAAGAAAAAGCATCCCTAGAAGAAGAAATAGAAAAACTGCGTGAAACTTTAGACGAAAGAAATAAAGAACAAGTTGAATTTTTAGAAAAGATAAAGATGATTGAAAATGAGCTTGCAGTGACGAAGAAAGAATCTGATTTAAATTTAGAGTAAGTCGCGCATTAATCTGTGTGGTTGTATGTATCTATCTCTCTCTCTCTTTTAATAGGAAACGTAGAGATGCTGAGGAAAAACTTGACAAGAATGAGGCGACAGTTAAAGAACTACAGTATGTTTGTATTAAGTTTCTACAAAAAAATAATTTTGCGTTTTAGGCAATGTTTGAACGGAACTAACGATATACTCACCGAGGCGTTTTCAAAGTTACACCAGACCCAGGAAAACTATGCCCGCGAAAAAGAAAAACACGAATCTACTAAGAGTGCACTTCGTGAGATTATTGGGTAAGTTTGCGTTGGTGTTTTTCCGTCTGTATTGTCGTTTTATTTGACAGTAAATACGAGGAAGCCAAACGCATAGTACTAGCGATGAAAGCAAACGAAATTGTGTATGAAGACACCATAGACAAACTGAGGTCTGAGAAAGAGGATTTTCATAAAACGTTCGAGATGTTTAAGAATTCGGCGTTACAAACAATCGAGGCGTAAGTTAACGCAGGTTTAAATCATTTCAAATTTAACTGTTTTTTTAAGGGCGAACAAGGAAGTTGCAAAAGTCAAGGCTGAGTGTATAAATAAAAATGTGCAGAAGAAAAATTCCAAGCATCATTAGTGTATTTAAACTTTTGTATTATTTATGTTTTATTTTGGCGTTCTGTATTTTTTCACGTTTAATATAATACATCATTTTCTTACAAGTAACTTGTTTTATTAAATTTTACAAAAAAGGATCTTGTTGGGTCTCATCAGTACAGCCTCCATTCCATCAAGCTGTCCATTATTGCGACATATATCACCCTCAATCACGACATTTGGAGACGCTCATGGTTAAGTGTGTCATTCGCCATTGTTAAGGTGCGCACAACTATAAATTCTCACAGATTCTACTAGAGGGCGTTGGTGTCAATTATCCAATCACAACGTTCGATCATTGTTTTTATTATCTGTTGCGGCATTAAACTAAATAAACACACAAAATGTCAGAAGAACACACCGCCGAGTTACCAAAATCCGTACAAGCTCGAATAGAACGCAACCGTCAAAAGGCACTAGCTATAAGGCAAAGCAAACTTGTGTCACATCCTTACGCAAAGAGGTTAGTTTTTTATTAGTATGTAATTACTAAATACTTATATGTTATTTTTTCATAAGTACTGCTATTTCCATCGATAAAACAACGATTAAAATAGGAACAACAAAGTACAAGGACACGGGCGGAGGTTTTTTGCTTGAAGAAGACCCAAAGGAAGAATTACCTGTAATACAAGTGTTACTATTTAAAAACGTCTACTTTATTGTTTGTTTTAGGACGCGATTACCACCACCGAGCCACCCGTTGTGGAAGATGATAGACCAAGTTGTGTAAAATGTGAAAAGTCAATTGCTTCATCATGGTTGTTTGATAATTTTGGTTACAAGTGTTGTGATTCCTGCAAGTAAGTTGAAGTCTAATGTTGAGTGACTCTACAATCATATTATAGGGATACTGACGAGGAACATAAACTTATTACCAAAACGGAAGCGCTAAATAGATATTTACTGAGAGATTTTGATCTGGATAAGCGTGAACCACCTCTTAAGTACATCACGCGGAAGAATCCACACAATGTACGCTGGGGCGAAATGAAACTGTTTTTAGAACTGCAGGTGAAGAGATAAAAACATTTACATTGGATTAATTTTTTTCAAATCACTGATTTCTCTGATTAGCTTAATTTAAGACCTCTAACTGATAAGTTCACTTTATGTAAGTGTAAATTGTTTGACAGGTGGTGAAACGGGCCTTAGAGGTGTGGGGTAGCGAAGAGAAAATAGAAGAACAGCGTGAGCTGCGAGAAGAGAAAAAGGTGTTGGCGAAAACCAAAAAATACAATAAGCAGTTGAAAGAATTAAAAATGAGTATGAGAAGTAGTTTGTACGATAGAACGTCAGCAACTGCGCATGTGCACGAGTTTGGTCCAGAAACATATCACGAAGAAGAAGATAACTACACCCGTAATTGTTTAACTTGCTCGTATGTAGAAACCTTTGAAAAGATGTAAATTTCCTTGTATACTTTATAAATAAAACATTTTTATTATAAAATTTTTATTTACAATAATTACATCAATTTGAATAACATCCTACTAACGTAAAGAACCTTTATGTTGCCAAGTACATGTAAACAATCACATCAATAAATACGCTCTGACAACCTGAGGATATGATTCTGACGTGGCAAAAACATTCTTACATATACATATAAAATTAAATTACTCAAGCGTAAGTACAAACAAAAATAAGCTACAATCACTTTAACATTTATCCTTACAAGGAGGAGTGAGGTACATCCGATTAAATTCTTCGGGTATTGTGGTTGAAGATCTATTGTGTCTAAGGTGACTTTTGACTAAGTGGCCTGCCGTGAGTGCCGCCATGAGGGATAGCTCGCCTGCCAAGACCGTCCCGCAGACAATCCGCGCCAGCCGACTCGCGTTTTCTCCCGGACAGTCCGGATTCGGCCCCTTGACTCCCAACATCTCCAAGCAGGACGATTGAGCCGGAAGAACAGTGCCTCCACCCACCGTTCCGATTTCTATAGACGGCATAGTGCACGATATATACAAGTCTTCTCCGTCGTCCCCCCACGGCTCCATCAGCGTCATGCAGTTGCTGCTGCCGATGTTCTGCGCCGGGTCTTGGCCCGTCGCGATGAAGACGGCGGTCACAATGTTGGCGGCATGGGCGTTAAACCCGCCTATGCTGCCGGCGACGGCGGAGCCGATCATGTTCTTGGAATTGTTGACGTCGACGATGGCGGGGGTACTCGTTTTTAATACTTTCTTCACGATGTCCGACGGAATAATCGCCTCGCACACCACCGACTTTCCTCTACCTTCGATCCTAGAAAACACGTTACATTAATCTCGCGTAATTGAGCCTGGAGGACGATTACCAGTTGACGGCGGCGGGTTTCTTGTCCGTGCAGAAGTTGCCGCTGAGACTGAGGATTTCCATTTCGGGAAATTGCTTCTGGACATACTTCAGCGACATCTCGGTGCCTTTCGACACCATGTTCATGCCCATGGCGTCCCCGGTTTGGGCTTCGAACCGCACGAACAAGTGCCGACCGGCTATTCTTATCAAGAGTTTGGACAGTCTTGCGAACCGACTGCTGGAGTCGAATTGTTGCTTCATAGTTTCGAAGTTTTGGGGGCACTTCATCCAGTGCATGGCTTCACTGCAAAAGTATCAGACCATATATAACCTATAAGTCCGACAGGGACTCTAAATTCTTCAGTTTCGGCAAAATGAATCACCACACTTGTGGTCCTGTACAAATAGCTTCTCCGATAATCAAATTAATTCCACATATTTGTTAACAATAGTAACAATAATTGCTAAATCCACCATAATATGTGTTGAGTACATATTGCATAAAATTTGTGGTTTTCTTAGGAATAACCGACGTCAACAAAGACAAATATTTTATTGTATAATTTTAAATAAGTTACACTTTCAAACAAAAAACTAGAATTAACACTTATTGCAGATTTAGCACCAACTTTGTGTGGTATTCTCCGAAATCATTAAGTCTTTTACTGGATGCGGTTGAAAATTACACGCGTTAAGATATTTATAGATTGCAACTTCCACTCGGATCACTGTGTTGTTCTCTTTGTTCGCGAACAATGTGTCTAACATCAAAAACAAACAGTTTACACGATTGTTAAGCAATGCATATTATAAAAAAGTGTACACAAAATCGAAGTCTGAAGCAGTCGCCACCCTGTTTATACCATTAAGAACTCAACTAATTTATATAATCTCGAGTGTTTTCATCCATCACCCTCTTCATCAAAGGCTAATGTGATTCAAGTTCAATGCATCTATAATTAATTGCTTTCGAAAAATCAGTCCCCCAGTCACATGACAGATAGCTCAGATCTGACAACACAATCTACGTTCGTTTACTTTAATTTCGACTAAAAATCAATATATGTAAAGGGTTGGTATTTACAATTCGTTCTTGCACAAATTACTGCACATAAAGGAAAAAACATGATGGCAGTGCGAAGAGCAATTCCATAATAGAGCGGAAAGAATATCCAAGCTGGTGGAACACACTCGACCTAAATGAGAAGCGAAAGCTGGCTGCGTTTAAGTAATTTCGAAGACGATAATGCATATTGTCGCTGGCAGACGCGTTTAACTTGAACCAAGACTTGAGTAACATATACGGTGTGTACAAATAAAACAAGCAAAGCAATACAGGAATTCCGGAAAAGTTATCAAAAACGTCGTCAAATGACTTGGGAATGGAGGACCATAAAACGGTTACGGTCTAGAAACTTGAATTTGCAAAAGGACCAAGAGAATACTGGGTCCTTAAGAAAAAAAGGTCCCGGGGAAACTGGGAAACGGCTGGAAAAGCAAAACGGGAAAGATACAGACCTGAGAAGGTAGGATACTTTATTATAAATTCAATGAGGTACCAAGAGTTAGGTCTTGGACTTAAATATATCGAGGTACCGAGAAATTCCACGGGACGCCAATCTAACAAAGGCCACCTCAAGAGAAACAAAGTTGTCAAAGTTCTATCTTAGACCCGAGGGACCAAAAGAATTTCGCTATGGTCCCTTTAAGAGGGTCCATACGAAAAAAAGGTCTCGGAATAACTTGAAAAGGTGAAGCGAGTAGGGTAATTTATTACAAAGCGAATGAAGTACTAAACGATATGCGGATACCGATAAATTCTACGGGACGCCAAGTTCAAAAAGGGACCACTAGAAAGAAAATAAGTTCTGGAAGACGATGTAATCCCTCTTCAAAGACACAAAGGTGGGAAAAGTCAGGTCATTAGACTAGATCATGTTCCCGGGTCAGAAGGAAATACCGAGAAGGATTTCTCATTCATAATATAGATACCCGGAGATTTCCGGCGGGTCGAGAAACGCTGGATAATCAAATTGGGTACCTAAAGGTCACTACTACCTAAAGAAAGTCACTGTGGGACTTTAAGTTGACGTATGTGTCCGGGATGACAGTGTGTGTCCGGTCCCAAACGGGCTAGCAGAATAATTTTTAAAAGAGGTGCACCAATGCGGTAACCTTGGTTTTGGGAATGTGTTTATTGCGTGAAAGTGTCTACAGACCTGGCTTTGGTGATGGAAGGGAACCGGACGACTGGCCCTCGCGTCATGCCGTCTCCTACCACTCTGCTGGTGACGCCGCAGCCCATCAGCGCCCGACAGCCCCTGTTGGTGCTCGCGACCAGACATCCCTCCGTCGTGGCCATCGGCACGTATACGTGGCGTCCGTCGAGATTTAGAGGTCCTGCGAACCCGACGGGCACTGGCATGTAACCGATAACGTTTTCACAACACGCCCCCATTACCTAACGAAAAACATAACACAATAATGATTGAATTAAAATTCACGCTACATACTTTGCCGTAATCGTAATTTCTGTATGGCAAATCTGTGAGAGCCCCGGAAAGTTTTCCGTCGACGGTCAAAATTTTCCTTCGGATTCCTACGCCTCGCTCGGGATCATCGACGGCCTTCTCGATTTGATAGGCAGGGATGTGTTTGTTTTGAACGAGCAAAATAATTTCGTCGTCGCTCAGCACTGCACCGCCCAAATTGGTATCGTTGTATATTTTCAAACATTCCTCTATGCTTCTGCATGCCTTCACGGACGCGTCCTTGTTTTCTGTTAACGATTTTTCAGAGCCAGGCTCGAAACGTGCAATATCTGTCTGAACTTCTTTGTCTTCGAATGTTGCGTCTACAACACCGATGTGAGAAGGGTATTTTGTCACACTAATAAGATATACCTTCGTCGTTCCCGTCGCCGCTTAAGAAGAACGACGGCGTTTTTATTAGGGGCATTTTAAATTGCTTATGCTTTGTTTTCGGCTCGGGTCCCGTGTAAACGTGTGCTCTGAGTTGCTCCGCTAAGTCTTCTTTGTTTTCAAAAAATACGAACTTCACTACTAACGCTAACAAGAGGATCAAGATGACGATATGGTCCGCACTAACGGTAACCCATCTGGAATATGCGTGTTGAAAGCTCTTGGAGTTTGTTGGTCTAGTGCTACTTACTTCATAATATATTCGTGTAAGGTTGTGTCGTCCGTGCGATTTAAAGTCATGTGCTGCTCGACGACTAAAGGTCTGATATTGTCCACGTCATCTTCTTTAAAGGGCCACCGACTGAAAGTGGAACCACACCGAATAAGAAACGTGTTAAGACCACCGTTTCGTTTAAACTGGCTAGTAATTTCTTCTCGCTACTATTCATTCATGTTAACACTTGACAACAATGAGATAAAAATAGCCGGAAAAAGGTTAAACATCCTTTAAATATTCAAATGAGTTTTAAAAAAGACCCATTTAGAAAAATTCATTCATATTCCTGCGTTATTAGCATTTTACCTGCGAGCATGCACCAACATTAATCCTGCCGACATGATAAGTTTCACCCTTTGTAGGACCGGGTTCGATTTGTGGTCTTCCTCCTTCAGCGCTCGTGCGATCAGGGATTGTTTGTTACCATAAATATTTGTTGTTCGAGACAACTGAAAGCAGCCGGTTGAGTAGGGTCAAGAATGCGCAAGCGCTTTGCGGTTAAGTAAAAGTGGATTAATTACCTCTAATATTAATGATAAACAGGCTGGATAAAATGTCATAAACACAATATAATTGACTAAAACAGAAAGGCATGCGAAATACGAAAGCATTTCAAGGCGATGGACACCTGTAACAATCACAAAAAAATTTTACACGTCTTTACCATGATACCACGACTCATACCTGAAAGTGTACCAACACCAATGACTAGAGTCTCAACAATGGTATCTAAAGTAATTGTAGGTCCCAAGACGGCCATTCCTCGAGCGATGTTGCTTTTAACTTCTTCCTGATTAGAAGCGCTTAAAGCAGTCTGAGCCAACATCGCGGCTTTCGATAAATCGATCAGCAGAAGAAAGAAAAACAGTGCATCCCTAAAACACGCGTTCTTAAATTGGATTTTTCATTCCACCGAATACTAACTTCAAATCTGATACATCAATCCGCAACAAGTTCAGTACGGTTGACGTAAATACAAAGCTCGAAAAAACAGTGAACAATCCTGCAATACCTACAACAAATTTACTCATGAAAGTTAGACAATGTTTGACAGTTGGGTTAAGAACTGTTATAATTCGGTAACGAGTAACAAGATTGACGTTGAAAGTAAACAAAGCAAGTATAAGATCTTCAAACTATTTGTAAGTCGTTCAAATGGCTGTTGAATGTTTACGGTTGTAAACAACGCTCTCTCTTGACAGCTACAAATCTGACAAGTCTGTTGGGCAAGCAACCAATGAGAACTCGTATTGCATATAGTCAAGGTCATGGTACATTCGGTGTCGAAATTTGCAGTACACTCCCAAATTGTTGACGTAGCTCACGATGACTTGAAACACTCTATACCTACACTACCCGTTATCTTTATGTTGTAACTCAAAAAACGCTCACTTTGGCGATGACAAATCTGTGCTAAGAGAACCTAAACTTTAACCTTGATCTATTTAAAGTGCCTGCCAAGTGTCAAGGACAAATTTAAATTTTCTCTAGACGAACTGACACTCGACATTCTCGCCTAAACTAATAGGGATATTGAAGAGTTAATTCAAACAATGTACAAAGGGTGAGTGAAGAGTGGAACCGGATTGGGCAATACGGTACACGAAAAATGTGAAGACAAACTTTCATTAAAATAACAAAAATAGATGTATAGAAGGCGAGCATGTTTAACTTGTCGTACTAATGGTTTCGAAATGGTGACGCACTTGTTTTTGAGAACCGCCTCAAAATTTCGATTTTTCGTAGTAGGGAGACGAACAATACTTTCTCCGTGTCTCTCAACATTCTTTAACCTTGAATCATTTTCACTTCACTTTCGCCGTTACTTTATTCTAATGTAATGCTTTAATAAGCACGAGGTGATACCGTTTTGCCATTGCAATATTAAAGAGGTCGCTTCGAATCATTTGAATAATCGTAGTCGATTTGTTTCGTAACGGAAGGGAAACGCTTACCTAAAATATACTTCGATCCTAATTTTTCCAAATTACAAAACTGGTAGTAGCAGTAGAGAACGGCCAGGCAGCGAATTAGCGTCATAACAATCACGTCGGCAGCATTATATTCGGCCTACAAAAGATAAACAAAATGAAACTGCAAACTGTATACAATATGTCAGGCACAAATGGGCACAAAAGCATCGACTTTAAAGTGCCGGTTAAATTTTATCATTAATTTTCCACCTATACTATATTTGCACAGGGGTCAGATTAACTTCGGAAGTAGTTCGAACTGGATGCGTTATATTAATGCCTATCGGTATGTTTGTACTTCAAGGATATTAATTCCAGAAATTGGACCCACGATGAGTTCGTCGATCGATCCCACCAACTTCGCGTACTTTTCATATTTACTTAAAAACAATTTTTCGAAAAACGGTCTCCAGTCTCGTTTATCCAAACAATAACATTATTAGCAAACGCATACTTAAACCCTATCTGTTAAACAACTATTACCTACATTGTGGGAAATGAATGAGCCTATTATCACAATCGTTTGTGGGTTTTGATAAGCGTAATCTTTGTTTATCACAAATAAACATGTCATAATTGCAGCGCTACTGCAATCGTGCCAAATCGCCAAAAAATAAAAACCTCGATAATCCCACGTGTTAGAGAGAGACAGCAAGATCATGTTTTATGAATGTAAAGTGCAAAATTTTGAAAAATCATGCAATGCGGTTGCTTGGGCTCTAATTACCTTAACTCATACGGCAAACAGTTACGGCACAAGCTCAGATAACGCAACGTATTGCATGTTTTTCAATCTGGTAGAAATTTGATTACAACAATAGAAGTTGTACCGATTTAGCCATGTAGTGTGAATGTAAACATTCCCATTTTAACCGTCGGTCTAATGAAGCGTATGATGTCGGCTTTGAGTTGATTAAAACAGTGTGATTCAAGCGGATAAATATGTAATTAAATATCTCCCTTTGCGTAAATCACAGTGTCAACGAGACGAAACAATAACACGTATGGTGAAAAATTCAAATCGAGAATTACTTCATCTCTGTTATAAAAATGTTAATTCGAGCTTTCCCTTTCGACTAGTTATGCAGATGTTGCTGTTATAAAATATTTAGCACAATACTCTCCATCGGAGATAGTAACGTAAAATGCCGAGACGTAAATAGAAGTTGATCGTCGTTTGTTGACATTGGCAGTGAAAGTAAGTTTACAACGCGAAGAAAATAATTCTAGAAAAAGACGCGATCAGTTCAACGAGTTCGGCTTAAACACACCCACGAAACTCGATCCTTGAAAGAACTTCCAAATGCACATCTTTAATTCCGATCCTATACAAGCTAAATAACTTAAGTCCTGGGAAGGGAGAAGTTTACGATAACGCTACGGATAATAAGTGTCGTAGGGGATGATCGGTACGCCAAATTAGCTGTCAATCCGAAGGGAGGTTTAGTGAATTGAACAGACAGACGTTATTCTTCGATGAGTTCTATATCGAATAGACTTGTACGGTGATGTCTGTCATATCGTGAATGCGCTAAAATCCATCTGTGATTCTAATTGAGTTTGTTATCAATTCCAGAAATACGAACGTGTGGTTGAAAAGATGTCGATTTCGAACAGGATGAAAAAAACGCACTGCTACTGGCAGCACTGATTTAAAACACCCGCGTTAACCTCGATCCGTCCGATTGACAGTTAATGTCACTCAAAGCCAACTCTAAATCAAAATATTTGCGACCGCACGCCAGGATAAAACACACCCTTCTTGACTGAAAAATACAACAGTTGAAGGGTTGGATACAATGGAAAAATTGGTTGCCTCTGTGCATCTGCAGTTAGCCAACAGTACAACACTACCCTGAAAAAATTTTTAGGCGTACTGGAAACTACTTCACGATGACATTTGGTTAAGTCGCCCACGTAGTAACACATTAATATATACAAGACAACTTCACTTGAAAACGCAAACAAAACCGTCTAAACCGTTATGCAACGCAACCTTGAAAATCCCATAATTTCCAAATAAGAAAATTGGAAAAGTGACGCTCCATAATTACAGCGTTAGATATTATTAAAATTTTCAGGTTTCCAAGGTTAGATTGCAAAAGCTCTTGTGCAATTTTCTCCCAGCGTATTCTTAATTTTTGCAATTGATGCCAAGTGCGGTTCATTGAAAATAGTGTTGTGCAAGAAAACTTCCAATTCGATTTAAAATAATTAACTAAAACTCAATTTATAACAGCACCTGTCGCGAACCGGCTCCGGCGCGCTTAAAATTTTAAAAATGATAAATGACGTGAGGAAAGCTCTAGTCCTGGAACAATTTAGCAGCCGAAAAATTCAATTTTTCGCTCGCCATATTGAACCTTAATTGACGTTTCACCGGAAAAGTACGGGTCCAATGCAATTACTTGTGCGCAAATGTAATTTCCGATGTGCAGGGTAGGCCGTGATTAGAAAGATTGGGTTGGCGATTCTGCGAGCGAGCGGCATGTCACTGTGTTTTGAGGTTAACGAATGACGCATGTGACGGAAATGGACGACTGGAGGTTTACGACCACGGCCTACTTGCACTTTTTTTGCGATTACGTTGTATATATTAAACTTTGAAAGCGAAAATTGGTGGACTAGCTTCCGGACTGAACAATTTGGGTTTTATTTAGTTTACTGACCCAACTTTCATACAATGTTACTTAAGTAAGTTTCCATTGTGATTACGTTATATGAAGAAATACCTCATGGAGACATTCTGCACAATGTCGGAGGGGTGGTTTAGGGGGTGGTGCCGGCTGTTGCTGATCAACTGTCAACATACATGCTGCCAGGGTGAGTGTGGCTACAATAACTTCCCAGGGATGCGTCGCACAGAACTCCCCATGCGCGCGAAATAACCGTGTCGTCATCGTGTAACAGTCGTGAATCGTCTCCTGCAAATAAAAAAAAAACAAAACTTACTACTATATCAACACAAATAATCACAAAGGGATAAAATAAAACCAACAAAAAAAACTACACTAGTCACTGAAATAAAACAAAAAAACAATTGGTGTTGCTTGAATCCTTGAGGAACGCCAGTTGATGCAAAACAAGTGATGAATACAACAATAGTAAATCTATTTAACACAGTATCGATTAACACATATCCAAATAATGAAAATGTTGAAAATTACGGTACAATGTCAACAAATGTCCTTTGTGAGTACTAACCCGATGTTGAACGAACCTGGTTAAAATTCGATCCTGTCAGAAGGAGCCAGATCGGATACCCCAGGCGGAATTTGCGGGCTCTCATATTAAAACAAAAATGTTTTCATAAAAAAGTCAAAAAGCTTTTAAGGGTTTGCTTGTAAATCCCGTTGAAACGCAGATTCCATCTAAAAACCTCGCGAGCGATTACTTTATCTCACGATCGAGCATCAAAACTGCCACCGGAAACAAATATGGAATCGCGAATTCCGCTTCGTATTGGATTTTTGTTTTTCGAGCGCATTCCGGCGTATCGAATTGGATTTGCCGAAAGTCAGAAGGAGACATTCCGCGCGATTAAAAATAATATGGAGTTTTAAATACGCATAAAAAGACGCGACAGACACAACAAGTAAAAATTCAGACACATATCCGCCGAGACGAATCCGAGCGGCGCGTTAATCCGAGGCCTTGACAGACACATTAAGATGTTGCAAGATTTGTGCAACACGAAATTGACAGTGAAAAAAAGTCCGAATTGTGATGTAGGTAATGAGAACGACTTACGAAACGCCGTTTGAGGTAAATGTCAAATTGCCGAAATCTGGCCAAAGCTTGACATTGAGACGGTTTCTCTATCGATTAAACCATTTGTAGCGTTTTTTTGTAAAATTAATCTGGTAGTTTGATTGATAATGGGGTGTATTGTTGTTGAATTTAGTCGGTAATTAATGAACGTCGATAGATTACAACAGCAAAATATGTTCATAAATTAATTGATCTTAGGGAAGTAGATTCCATTAGTTGATGTCAAAATCGATAGCTACAAATTGGCGCAGAGCCTTCTGTAGCCATCATACGTGTACATGACACGGTTTTAACGTAAATACGGGATTATTTTTAATGAGAGCGCAACCGAAGGGCTATAAATCCAAAATAAATGAACAGCTGAATTATAGTTGAACTTCGATTCATTTCAACTTACGCAATTCCATGCAAACGGGTCAATCGAACGCTTATACTTTTTACCTTACCTAATGTGGGTGCACCAAGTATTTACACCAACAAACACATTGTGCACGATTTTTCACTTAAGTAGTAACTAAGTCGTTCGTCCTTTCAGAAAAAAAGTGACTATAATCGTACGATCCACAAGGCGCTGACGTTTGCCGCCTCGTTGGAATAGGAATTATACTTAATTAAATTGTCAGATGACATTACACGCTAATTTGTGGTTTGTAGTAAATATAATTTTGAAGGTAAGCGGCAAACAGACATCATAAATGTTACATATTGGGTTAATGGAACATGTATTTACGGGTAATCTCTGTAACCAAAGTATGACAACACAGTCATAAAAAACACAGTGGACAGGTTTTCCGCAGAACCTGCTGTCTTAAATGAGCTAAAATTTATGAAGCCCGTTTTTGCAATGATGTTCATCCTCGAATAATACCCACACTAATTGATAATTTGTATTGAGAGCAATGACAATATCACAACAAAATCATCATCATTCTTTTCCAAGACAAACTGATGAGGAATTGCTTGGTAACGATGTTCGAATTCTTGAAAATGCACGAGGTAGGTATTTTTCAGGATGCTTGATCCGATTTCAGATAAATCAAGTACCTAGTCATCAAAGCCGCTGCACCCAATGTTAATTACCAGGAAGAGAAAAGTCCTCAGAGTTCGACAAATGAAACTTGCAACAGCAAGTGCTCTAAATTACTCACAAATGACATCCACTAACGTTTCAATATTCTTCAGTCGCTTCAAATCCACACTGATGAAATCACACCGACGTTCACGTATCAACGACATCTGAATCCATTCATGCCGTAAAAATGCCTTGCATTGGAGGATCTGTCCTAAGTCGTCACTTTTAAATTACATAACAGATAAGTTATCAGTTTTGAATTACATCATAGATAATTCATCCGTTCGGAGATTGAAAATGACCCCGCCGTAACGACTTAGGAACAAAAGACTTTTAAAGGTGGTCACACTGTCAGGATGTCGCGACATTGGGTTCTTCTCATGCGTGACCATTATTACATACACCTTTCACATTAACAATGTATCATCTAATCACTTGCGACGATCTTATTTTATTATCAAATCAATGATGGGGTTCACGGAATGCCACGATTCGGTCAACGCACTGATGATGATTTGCACTTACTTAAAAAAAAAAATCTAAATTTGTGAGTGACACAATTCGTACTTATGGTCGTTCTAAATATGCTATATATTACAACATTCGTGATTTTACGATATCATAACGTAACAAAATTGTGTTCCTTAAGTATGGTAATTCGTTAATTATGCTTAATTAGGAACTTCATTCATTTCAACATCACCAGTTACTCAAAGTTTTCCGCTCAAGTTCAAGGTGGTATTGGGTAAAAAGTAGAGTAAAAGAGCTTTTATGTTCTATTTTAAGAACTTGTTGTGCAAAGACTATTCATCCATATTTCATCGATTATATTAGATAATCGACTATATCAGAAAAAGTTGTGCCTTTTATGTTAATTGATATTCGGATACTAAACCGTCTATTTTTAACTAAAGCAATTTATGAAAAACATAATCGATTTCAAAATCGATACTCTTAGTACTCTTGGTAAGTTAAATAATAACTGAAATCTTAGATTTTTTGTATCAAAAAAAAGCTACAAATTGACAAACGATCGATTTATCAAAAACAGGATTGATTAAATTGTCAGCACACGCTATAACATGTCTTTAAAATATTATCGATCATTAAAAGAGGAATTCGTGCTTTCTTTCTCATTTTATAAAAACGAGGTCCAAACTTACCAAAAACTGTTAAATTTATTGTTTCTCTTAGCACTGTGTAATCGATTTTCGTCGATTAAGTTTATATTTCCAGTTCAGTAAAGATTATAAGAACAGCATTCCATTAATATAAATTTAAAAACCTGATAATGCAAACAGCACGATCTCAAGCGAAGCTGATTTTATATTAACCTTAATCGTGTTGATGTTTGTGATTACTGATTAATTTATACCTGCACTATAATAAAAAAAATTCATAATCGATTAAATCGAAACGAATTGCTAAACTAACAAATCAGTTTCAAAATTGAATTTTGTCCTTTAATTGATTTAATCAATCAATATTTTAAATAATAAATGATAACGGTGATATCTTAACTATAATCGATTTCTAAAACCGGCGATTTATCAAAAAAGAAGCAGATTAGTATACTACGTCTTTCGGTAAAATAGTATCAATGGATTCAAAACCTTCCTGATTCCACTTTCATCGATTAATCAACATTCGAAAAAAATTGATAATGATTCAGTAATCGGCGTTTAAACCGATAAATTTGATGATGATTCAGTAATCGACGTTTAAACGAGATGTATGATGTGATTTTGAAAGTTTATTCCTAAAAAAAGTAACCGAGTTTTGATCATTACTCTATAATCCATTTTTAAAGAGAGACACAAAAATGGGGCAGTGAAATATTATCGATACAGGTATAAAACTATCGATTATTAATAATTGTAACCCTGACAATTTGATATGCATCGATTGATCAACATTTGAAAAACATTTACTTTTGATAATAATTTAGCAATCGACCTTCACCTAAACCCAGACGTATGACACTATTGATTATCAAAATCGGAATGAAATAGAAGTATTTTCTTTGGCTAAGTTTGCAAACGCAGAGATATAAAGTAATCGATTATCAAAATTGACACAACTAACAATTTGACGGTTTATCATCCTAATCCAAGTGTGTCGATTTATCAATGGAATAGAATTCAATCTCTGGTGATCATTCTAATGGATTTTCCTCTATTTCAGTGCTTTTAATCATATGCTAAATCAGAGGAAACTCATATTGTAGTATCAGACGTTATCGATTATCAAAAAGTTGTCTTTCGCTTAACTGAGATGGAAAGTGAAATTAGTCAGGAATCTAAAGCGTAAACGATTTTCTCGAGTAATCAAAATTTTTAAAATATTTAACAAACGAAAAACACCTGCTATCAAATTTGAGAAATTCTAGTTTTCAAAAACGATAGTTTGATTCGTCATAAAACCATGCGAAATTTCTTACTTTTTTTAAACTTAAGGATACGTTATCAACTAGTTATCATAGTATGCATATGTATCTAAAAGAAAATAACATAAAAACTCCTTATCAATGCACTGCAAAAATTTAAATGGGTTACTTTAAATACGGTTTTTATGGGTTTTTTGATAAAACTTGATAGCTATGACATGGGCAATATATAACATTTGGCAATTCGTTAAGTTAATGAAGACGATAAAGTTAAGTGTTTGAAACGCTGAAATAAGTATGCATCTCTGCAACAGAATATAATTAATTACAGTTCCACTAATGCATCTGTCATGTATTCACTTTCCATACTAAATATTGATAGTGGTGCTTTTGAGTTATGGCTAATGAACTATGAGCGATATATTGATTCCATACGTTTTAAAGACACTTTGACGGATTTTTCAAAAATTAAGAAAAAAAATCAAAATTAGCGGTGTAGAAAATAACGTTTAAATGACTGTATTTGTGATATTATATAGCATATTGCTACATAAAATCACAATTCCACTCCACAAGCGGTCGATTTATCAAAAACAGGATAGATTAGATTATCAGTTGCATGTTATAACCTGTCTTTAAAATATTATCGATCATTAAGAAGGAATTCGTGCTTTTTTTCTCATTCTTTAAAAACG